AAGTATCTCAAAAACTAAAGGATTTGATTTGCATTATGTAGCTCTATTATATAACTTTGGTTTTTCAAATTTAGCATTAATTTAGATAAATTCATTAATTAATAAATAACTAACTTAATCAAAATATAAAGGGTTTTTGGGAGATGTTGATGCTCCAAGTAGTATTTTAGATAGTTCCTAAAAATATACAGCTCATTAATCAGTTTCTAGCAAATCATTTAGATCTAATACAGATGAAATTAATGATATAGCTAAAAGAGCATAATTTAAAAAGAGTAAATTAATATTAGTTGGTAACTATTAATTGACATAGTTAAATACTGCAAGAGCAATATATTTAAAGAATAAAATAAAAGAGAATTTATAATTTAAATTTTATGAGAATAATAATACTAAAACCTAGTTAAATGAAATGAAGTAGGGAGTAGAATTATTTTTGAAGAATGAAAAAAGAAATTAAGGATTAAAAAATACAATGATTTAATTGATTAATGAGAAAGTATCTTTTACTTAATAATTCACAACCAAAAAGGCCATTGATGCAGATTAATTATATAATAGAGCAATAAAGCTTAGTAAAATATAATAAAGTTTAGAGGAGAAGTTATTTATAAGATATTAATAATTTCCAAGTTTAAAAATATAATCAATCTTAGTATTTTATTAAGGTGAAATCTTAAATAATTATATTGAAGCATATAAATATAAAAATTTAACTTCAATGCCAGAAGAATAATTAATTAATATGGATGTTAATATTAAAACAGCATTTTTTTCAAAGAAAGTTGTTTATTTAAATATATAATTAGAATATAATTAAAATTTATTAATTACAAGCAAATCTGAAAATTCATTGAGATTTTTTTAAATATCACAAGAAGAATCAAAACATTTTAATAATGTTGATTATTTACTTCCTTTGGCTATAAAAAATGAACATAGTTTATTAGTATAAAGATTTACATAAACAAGTAAATCAAAATTTTACTTGAATTCAAGTTAAACATTTTTTAAATTAAATAACTTATTAATAAAACCATGTTAACTTTTATTTGATATTCATTTTGATAACATTAATCATTATAAATTTTCAGCATTTTTTTCAGAGAGCATTAATTAATCTGCTTATTTATTGGTTGATATCAATCAAAAAGTAGGAGGAATAACAGAGAGTTTCTTTGAAAAATTAGGATTAAATGAAGATTATTATATGTAATTTAATAAATAGGAATAAACACAATTATAAATTGATTATCTAATCCCAAATTTTAAAAAGTTAATTGAAACTAAATAATAAAATACAATTACTGAAATAAGATTTTTAAAGGAAGCATATCTATTAGAAAGTTATGGAGAGAAAATTAGAAATTAAACTAGATAATAATCATTAACTTCAACTTATTGGTCTAATCTAGAATAAACTTACATATTTGAAGCTGAAATATGTATATAATATCATGATATTTTTGGTTATAATTATTTCATTATAGAAATAAAAGATGTTAGATAATTAATTAATTCTAAAAGATCATAAGTTTCAAGTAGAAATAGAAAATAAGAAGGATTAGAAGAATTTTTTGAATTATCAGAATTGTCTGAAGTTGAAGCTATAGCATAATCTCCTAAAATTTCAAAATAACAGAATAAATTTAAAATTTGTTATGATGAAAATTTAGAAGAGAATAAAGTTATATAAAAAATTGTATAAGAATTGGAAGAAAAATAAAAAGCAGAATAATAATAAACAATAGAATAATAATAAAAATTAGAATAATCATAATAGATATAAAATATATCTTTTTAATAGAATATTTTAAGTCCTAATTTTAGTAATGCTCCTTGGTAAGATTAATCTCAAATACCATTATAAATACACCAAAATAGTATGTAATAGGACTATTTTCATAAAGAAAATGATAATGATAAATCATTTTCAGTTTACTAATCAAAAAATATAAAATTAGAAGAAATAGAAGATGAATTTAAAAGTCGTAGTGCAAAATAAAAGGTTACTACTAGATAAAATAAAGATATGGAAGGAGAGAAAGAATAATCTTCATCTAATAATGTATTTAAGGGTATAAAAAAGTCAATATTTTATAAAAAATATGAAACTATTTTTCAATTAATTGAACCAATTACTCCAACAACTTTAAAATTATTCATAATTTTTTAAATACTTACTTACATAATTGCATTAACTTATTTTATTATTATACTTGCAAGTGCATAAGTAGATTTGAATAGATTCATAGGAGAAATTGATATGATTTAATTACATGCAGGAATAATGAATCCTCATGATTTGTATTTGTAAATAAGACAACCTATTATCACATATAATTCATTTTTAACTGCAGGTAAAATTACAAAAGAAGAATTTAAAGAGCTTACTGATCCCTTGTATGAAAATGTTGGTATTGGATATTATGAATTCAAAGAGGGTTTTATCTATTGGTTAGGAAATGAATACTTAACTCCATTTTTAAAGGATTAGAATATAACTGTATATTATATGTTACATAATGGGTCTTAAACATATCCAATAACTCAAAATATTCGAGAAGCATTGATGGCTACATTATCATATTATTATGATTTTAAATTAAGATTTGAGGCAAGATTGAGTACAGCTAATCAAACTTATTAGGTTTATTAATTTGCAAATATTTATAATTTTCATTTTTGGTTAGAGGATTTGACTATGGAAGTTTATGAATACTCAAAGAATCGAAGTATAGATGTAAGCAACAAATGGAATATGATTTGGATCATTTATTTAATGGTTAATATTTGCCCATTATTTGCTAGTTTATTTTATTATAGGATATTTAATTCAAAATTTGATTAATTTGTAAGCCTATTTAAATATTGTTCATCTTATAGAATGGAATAAGAATTAGAAAGATTAAAGTACATTTTAAAAGTATTAAATAAAAATAGTGATTTATTATTTAATTACTAATTTAATATAGAATAAAAAGAAGATGATATATTTAAGTCAAGATTAGAGCATGAATAATAAAAAGTTAAGGATATCAAAATTTAATAATAGTTTAAAAAGATATCTTTTGGTATCAAATTCATTTTTGTGATTATTGGTTGGATGGTGTTTTTTGCATTGAGTTTAGTATCTAATATTCAAATAGGAGAATATTTGAACAAATATTCAGCTACAGCAGATGCCTATAAATTAATTCAAGATATGTCTTTATATGCAGGTACACTTTATCGAAATAGAGATTTTGGATTGGCATTTGCAAATTATCCTTATTTGAGACCTTTTGATACAGAAAAATTTTATTTCACAATCAATACTGGATTAGAAACAATATCTAAATTCTTATAATTTTCTTATACTTTTGATTCCAGTTAATATTAAACTTCTGAAGATTTTTTTAATTTCTTTTAATCTTTGTAGGAAAACAATATTTGTATAGTATTAGGAGATTAAAATTTAGGTTTTTTAAAATAATATTGTGAAAAGTCTTTGTAAGGTACTTTATTATTAGGATTATTTCCTACATTAAAATTCATATCAAATTCTATTTCCATTTAAATGTAGATTAATAATTTTACAAAAAGAGTAGAATTTAATAAATATGAGAATGAAGGTAGTCTTATAGTGTTGAGAGCATTTTAATTAATGAGTAAATAATTTAAATTAGGAATGGTCAATGTAACAGAAGAATAAATTATTATATGTAATACAATCTCAATCATCTTTATTGTTTATTCATTATTATTGATGTCCTATTTTCTATTTATTTTAATGTAAAAATTAAGGATTGAATTGAATTTAGCCAGAAGATTTATTTTGCTAATACCATCAACTGTGCTATTCTTAGATGATCAATTTGATAGACATGTTAGAATCCTAATAGCAGGATAAGAATATTGAAACTCATATATTTATATAATAAAGTATAAGTTAATATATTATTAAAATTATTTATGTAAATTCTTAAACCAACCATAATAAAATCAAATTGCCACAAAATTCATCTCAATTTAGGTTTAGAATCATATTTATTCTCTAATTCCTATATATAGTCACCAATTCTCTATTTATGGTAAAATGATAAAACTATAGTAATTGGCAGACATTAGAATCCTTGGAAAGAATGTAATTTATAATTAATGTAAAAAAACTCTGTTTGGTTATAAAGAAGATCAAGTGGAGGTGGAGCTGTATATTAAGATTTAGGAAATCATTGCTTTACCTTTTTGAATACATTCACTACATAGGATCCTAAAACAATTAATAATGATATACTCATAAATGCATTACTAAATTTAGGTATAGAAGCCTAAGCTTCTGGAAGGAATGATATAGTAGTGGGAGAAAAGAAGGTTTCAGGATCTGCATATTAGTTATCCTTAGGAACAAAGATAAATCCAAATAAGATTGCATTGCATCATGGAACTATGTTGATTGATGTTGATTAAAATGCCTTAGCATAATACTTAACACCTTCAAAGAAGAAATTAGAAAGTAAAGGCATCGATTCTGTTAAATCTAGAGTTTCTAATCTTAAAGAAATAAAAAACACAATCACAGTTTAACAATATGAAGAATAATTAATAAATGAATTCATAAAAAAATATAATGATGTAGAATTTAAAGAATATAATTCTGATTAATTATTAAATATTGAGGAAATTAGGAAGGAATCAGAAAGATTATCATCTTGGGAATGGTTATATCAATATACACCTTAATTCACAGTTAATTTAGAAGAGAAACTTAAATTTGGAATGTTTGATTTTTATCTTTAAGTTGAATCAAGTATTATATAAGATGGTAGAGTTTTTACTGATTGTCTTTATCCAGATTATATAACTTAATTGAATTAAGTTATTCTTAATAAGAAATATGATTTTGATGGGATTAAGCAAATATTTAATGAAATGAGAATTTTATTCCCATAATTAAATGAACTTTCAACAGAATTAGAAGAATGGTTATTGAAAGCAATATGATGTATTTATATATAAATTCAATGAGTTGATTCTTCTAGTTTTTCTAAAATAAATTATTTCTTTTTTAATCTTTCTTATGTTAATTCTTATTCTGATTTTTAAGTACTGCCTTTATCCTATTTTAAATCAATTTAATAAATACTTATTCTTTAAGATTTTCATCATACAATTCAGTTAATGAGGGTAATATATCATGAGGATTCTTTTTTTTTACAGATAAAATCTTTTCAATTCTATCATGATTATCACCTTATACTTTATATGGCTCTGGTTTATAGTTGACTGGTAGATCCTAAATTAATGTCATCTTAACATTAATACAGCTCCATATTTTTTTTTAATGTAAAATTAAGTGTAATTTTATTTATGGATCAAGAGTTTAATTTCATGAGCAGCTCTATCATTTTTAGTAACTACTGCTGGAGATCTTGGAGATTAACTAATGGATTCTTCATAAGTTGAAGTATTTTATTATTAAATTTTAGGTGTCATAGTTCTTTTAGTCTCTCCAATAATAAAGTTTTATATTCTAGCTCTCTCTTTCATTCTTTTAAGTTCTCCTTCTTTTTCTCCTTTCTTAATAGCATTTTGAGTTGCAGAAGATTATATTCTCTCTATCTCATTACTATGTAAACCTATTTACTTTAATAGAACATTATAATCCTTTTTTAATTATATAATTAGTTTATGTTCTTATTCTATTAATTTAGCTTTAAGTTATTCCATTTACTTTTAATGTTTACGTTATAATTCATCCTTTTAACTTTCTATTCTTTTTTCTTACTCTGAAGCTACTCTTTCTTATTCTTTTTTTTCCATGTTTTTTAATTCTCTACGAAAATCCATAGCTTCTTCTACTCTTTCATCTAATGATACTAGTTTTTCTTATGTTTATAAATCTTTTAGTTTTCTTTTAGGTTTTACTTTTAAAAACTCTGTGTTTTTTGACAATTTATCTTCCAATTAACCCATTTCTTCTTATTATTTCTATATCTGTATTTATCTAAACAAAATAATAAATATATTCTATACATTTTTATTTTTTTCTGATTCTCAAATTATTAGAAATAATTATAGTATTTCTCATAAAAATCATCCAATTTTTCTAATCCTATCTCTTTATATGTTGAAACTTCAGCTTTATAAATCTTTTATCTAAGAATATCTTAATATTCACGAATATTTTATTCTAATGTTCTTATTGCTTTCATCAATTATTTGAAAGGAACATATTATTATATTTATAACAATAGATTTGCAACTTATTGCATTTTTTCTTTTATGATGCTAAATACTAATATTTACTCATCTTCATTCAGAAATCTAAAGTATAACATGATCCCATTACCCATCATTGTCTTAATCAAACAAATCAAAGAAATCCTTTCCACTAGAAATCTTTAACATCATTTAAAAGTCTTCTTTACAAGCATCAAAAACTTAAATAGCTGTCTTATATGGTATTTAAACTTATGTAAAATCATTTCTTCTAAACTCTTTCCATATATTTGCACATTTTTATGGAGCTGCCATAAATATTTCCCCTAAACGATTAATTAAATCTATCTTACCTTCTGCTTATACTTATCTAATATATGTTTTGGGTAATGATGATAGAGCTGAATAATTTGTTTATTATATTAATTTCGATGCATAAAGGGATGACTTAGTTTCAGTCTAGTACATTGAAATATGAAATATGATTAATATTATATAACAATAATACAAAGTCTGAATTATTGAAATCATTTGATCATATTAATAATCTGAATTAAGATCTATCTATAATCATAAAGATTATTATTTATATCATATTAATTATAAGTTTAATCAAGAAAATCTGAATCCATTACATATTAAAGATTGGTTTGTTTAATTTGTTTAATTTGTTCTATACTCAACTTAATCATCCCATGTTGATCTTTATTCATAATTTGTATTCTCATTTATAGATATTGAATGGTTCCTAGATCTCTTAATATAAATTGTATAATATACATTTTTTATTTTTTAAATTGACTAACGTATAAAAGAACTTTCTTGTTCTGTTGTTGTTGTCAATTTCTTTTTTGTATTTAATAGTTTATTTTAAATATCTTTCATTTATCGTTATAAGTTAGGATTAATTTTATTTAAGAAACTAGTAATATCATTTGAATCTTGATTTGTACAAGTAGATTCATCAAATTTATTATTCAAAATTGTTTATTATTATTATTGATTCACTCTAATTCTAGTTGTAGGATAAGATGGACTTTAATTTCTTTTTTGATTTTGTATAGATTTATCATTATCATATTATTAATTTACCTAATATTCAATTATATTTTAATAATTAATGTTTTCTTTATTGCAAGATAGATATTCTAATTCAACTATCCTTTTTTATAGTTTTTCAATCTCTTTTTCATTGATTTTTTAAATTAATTTAATTTCATTTTCTTTTTCAGCTAATTTAGTTTCTAGCAATTTTATTTCTATTTATTAAGCATTTATAATATCTTATTATTTTACTATCTCATTCTATTCATAATTCTTTTAAAATTTTTGAACAACATTCCCATTTTATTATTAATTTAATGTATTTATGAAGATATCATTCATCTTTCTTAAATTTTCTTCTCTTTCTTTAGCTTCCTATATATACATCTCCTAAATTTATATTTTCTATTGCAAAATGGCTTTTTCATTTTTCCACTCTAAAAACTAAATTCTTTCATCATTCATTTCTTTTTAATTTTGAATATTTATTTTAATTTATTTTTACTGTTATATTTATTTAACTTAAATCTATTTTTTGTAAAAAAATGTATTAAATCATTTACAAACCCTAAAAATAATTAAAAAATTATAAATTCTAATTACAATATATTTAAAAAATAAGGATGATATCTTAATAAAGTATTATTAGTAATTAAAATAATCAATTAATTGGAAAAATAAATGATAAATAGCAAGTAATTAATCATTAAAATATATTAATGATATTATTAATATGATTATTTATAAAAATATAATAGAATAAAAAGCAGAGATAAAAATAAACAACTTTAATTATAATGTATGAAATAGGATGATTTAAATATCTATTATATATAAAATAATATTATTTATAGAGTTTAGCTATCGATTCAAACTAATTGGAATTAAAGAAATTAAAAATTGAAATAAATTGAATAAAAAAGTAACATTTATCAATAATTGTTACATTTAATTTGAATATATAATTAGCTTATAAATTTTGTTATATATAACTCATTTCATAAGATCAATGTACTCTTATCTTAAGTTTTCTGCGAATTTTTATGTAAATTCAAAAGTTTATTGATGAATTTAATTTACTTCAGGAATTGAAAGCATATGTTTTATGTATTTATGAAGATGTGGATGAGGAGTTAGATCAATATTTAACATAAATAATGTTGATAATTCACAGATAGCACTAAAGAATTTATATTAAATATTTACCTTAAATCAGCTATAGTTGGTTCAGGAAATCCTAAGATGTATTAATGTTTTCCATTTCCTAAAAAGATTTCTTCAAAGGCTTTTAGATACCATTCTAATTCTTTGAATCTTTCATCTTTATTTTCTGGAGCTGGTTTTCCAACAAATTTAGGATAAAATACAAAATCTCTTGCTGTAAGTGTAATTTATCTTGTTCCTGTATGATGCCAATCCAGATATTAATCAAGTATGGCTTATTTAACAATATCAGATGGATATAAATTTTCAAGTTTGAATTTTTTTGCTAAATATTTCAAAATTGTATGTGATTCAAATAAAACAACATCTCCATCAACAATTGAAGGCACATTACCAGTTGGAGAAATCTTTTTGTATTCTGGAGTATTTTGCTCTTATTTCATAAAATCAATATTATGCAAATCATGTGGAATTTTACCAATTACTAATATTGCATGGACTGCTCTTGATGGTTGGGAGAGCGGATTAAAATATAATTAAATTGACATTTTATTTAATAAATCATCTAATAATTATTTCAACATATATATATATACGTTAGAATTTCTTATATCCTAAAATAGATTTATATATGAAGAATTTAATTAAAATGGTACGTAATAAATATTCTTTAATTATTCTATAATAATATGCTAAATAATTTGGCATATTATTATAAATTTATGGCCATATTCTAAAATTGGATTGTTTTTAGTATTCATAGAAATTTCATCAATATAATTTTGAATAAAAAGAAATAATTTATATTGAAATCAAAAAAAATATTCTTTGCATTAGATAATTATTTGGCTAAAATTTTTGTTATTTAAGTCAGATAAATACTTAAATCAATTATTATTCCTTAAATGTATAAATTATCATTCAATTTATTCTAAGAAACTACCTTAAAATGAATTATAATTTAATCTATTGATTTTAACATATAAATTTTACTTTATTTTGTTATTAATTTTTCTAAGGATAATATATGATTTAGGAATTGACATAATCTAATGATAATAGTTTCTCAAGATTTAACAAAAGGAGGTTTAAAATTGAATTTTAATTTAAAGTTGAGACAATCATTTATTATAATATGATGACAGTTTTCTTGTTTTATAATAATTAAATTATCATTTAATGATAAATATATAATGGGAATATATATAATCTTTTGATATAAAAAGGGTCAATTTTGATGAACTTTAATTTCAAATGAATAATATCTATTAAGCCTAATTAACAGAAAGTAATCGCAAGAATTATCTAAAGTTGGTTAACCTGTTGTAAATGATTATATTTTATAATGAGTACTGCAATTTTTCAATTAAAGAAACTTCATATAAATTAGATTCTGATATTGATGAAATAGATTAATAAATAAAGGAAAAAGAGTAAAAATTATTAAAGAGCAAAAGACATTATGAAAAATGTAAAGTATATAAAGAGGAATTAAAAAAACAATTAAAATTAAAACCATAAAAGGTTTTTGGATGTTTATATTGCAACATTGAATTTAGCAATACTTTACTTTTAGATAGACATATGGAGATACACAAAGAGCCACCTAATATAACTCCATAAATTTTAGCAATACAAAAAGAATTACAATAATAATTAGTATATATGTACTAAGCAAAATAACAAAGAAAATAATTGGAATACTAGAAAGAGGATTTAAAATGTGGAATGTTGGCAGCTGCTGGTAATATTGAAAAATAATATTTTTAGAAAGAAATTAAGAACTTGTTTCAAATGAAAAAATGGATTAGATTGAAAAGGTTTATATTGAAAAAATAAATAATTTGTAGTCTATATTGAAACGTTTAAATTAAGAGACAGAGTAAATTTAATATAAAAATGATTGGTTGGATAATCTAGAAGAAGGAATAAAAGAATAATTGAATTTAAAAAGTGAATAGGAAAAATTATTAAAAACTTAAATTGAGTCTTAACAAGCATAATCAAATGTTTTCAAAAGTTAAAGATCAATATAGATTACTAAAAAAGATATAAGAGTGCCAAGCAATACAAATTTTAAACCATAATCATAGCTTTTTATATAATCATAGGTTCGTGGATCAAATCATTTATTTCGTAGATCGAAAGATGGAATGGAATATACTTCTGATGACTCTCCAAGAGAAGAAATAATTTTAGAAGAAGAAGATTTGGTTAGAGAAAATATTGCTCACAGAAAAAACTAATCTAGTGTTAATTCAAATTTAAAGGCAAAACATTCTAAAAATCCATCAGGAGTTTCTTTTTAAGAAAGTAATTTAAAAGGGTTAACTAAATTTGAATAATATGAATACAGATATTAAGAATTTAATAGTTTAGTTACTGAAATGTTGTTGAATAGATATTATTTAAGAAGGACTTAGTTTGATTAACATGTGATTGAAAAGGAAAGGCAAAAGTTATTAGATTAATTTGATGATTTAAATGAAGTAGATGATTTGGAAGATCTATTAAAATAAATGTAAAAATAAACTAAAGGATTTGATAAGAGAAAAAGGTATCAAATAAAAAAAAAATAATTATATACGTAAGATTAATAGGAGAATCAGGCTAAGGAGAATACAATTACTACTTTAGAATCTAGTAGTGAAAACGAACATAGTTAATAAGAAAAAGATGAAGATGATGAGTTTAGAAATACTTAATAATTTGAATTGAGGAAATTCCCATTTTAAATAACAGGAGGGGATTTAGAGCATGGAAATGCAAATTAACAATAATAGTAATACTAAGATCCAGGATAAGGATACGGAGTAAATACTTTTAGTATAAATTATTGAATAAATAATTAGTATAAATTAAAATCAAAAGTAATAATTTACTCTTTCTTTATATTTTTTTTACATAATTTTTTCATTTATATATATTAAAATCAAAAATTTAATTCTTTGAAATTATTCACCCAATTGTTTGTAAATTATTCTTATTTGATATAAGTTCATAATGTTAATTTTATCATATCTATTAAATATTAGTAAATCGAAATTATGATTATATACAAATTATGTAAAATTTATTCAATTAAAATGGATTACAAATCTATAGGATAAGAGTATTAATATCAAATTTAATAACGACAATAATATTTCTAATTTTTTTTTAAAGATTTAAAATTAATCAATATATAAATGTAACATTAAAATATTGGTAATTATTTTAAATTGTCTCAATTAACTTTATAATTGACTGATAACGAAAATATTAATAAATTACTATGTAAATTTTTTAAATATTTTTTATACTAAAATCAAATAAAATATTCTTTATGCTCTTTTTTATCTATCTATAAAAAATAATATTTATATTTTTAGTTTCAATAAGTGATTACTTTTTCAACTAAAAGAAAAAAAATTGTTCTAATCCTAAATACTCCAATATAACTATATTCATAAAGTTGTTAATAAAAATATTTATAATATAAAAGATGGCAATTTAAATCTAAAAATATATTCTTAAAACATTTGCTTAGAAATAGAATTAATAATAATATAATCCAAAATTTTATTCTTTTCTGTTTAAAGAACTCTTTTATAATTATTTTATATATTATTTGGGATAAATATGAAATTGTATAAATTTGGTTAATGTTTGATTTAAAAATAGATCATTATATCAATCCTTTGATGAAGTCATTCAATGGAGCATTTTTAATCATACCATAGAATGGTTGATTGACCTACTTAATTTAAGGTAATTAAGACATGTGTTATACGTAATTCTTTAATCCTGGGAATTTATCAAATGAATAATTGAAACCAAAAAGCATTTAGATATCAAATATTAAACTAAAATAAAAATAATTTAGATACCTTAAATCGGCAATTGTCATTTTTGGTTAATTTTACACATATTTAAATTTGCCTTAACCTAAAAATACATATTCTATAAATTAAAGGATTGATTCCATTTCTTTCTCTTTTGCTTCAAAATCTGGAGGAGCTGGTCTTCCCATCATTTTTGGTCCAATTATGTGTTCAAACACAAATTTGGAAACTAATTTTGTGCCTGTATGATGCCAATCTAAATAACATTCTACTTTGGCAATTTCTTATGGGTCCTAAAATGATAATCATAATATAAAGTTACTTTAGGATAAAAATCATGCAACTGATATTTATTAACAATGTATCTAAGAATAGCATGACTCTCAAATAATTTAAATCCATCATCATCCAAAGCTGGTACACTTTAGCATGGATTAATAGCTGTGTATTCTGGGGTAAGGTTTTCTTATTTTTGTAAATCCACAACCTTAGCTGTGTGAGGAACATTTCCTAAAGTTAACAAAGCAAGCACTGCTCAAGAAGGCATAGATACGGGATTGTAGTAAAGTGTTAGTGTGTTACTCATAGTGATATATGGATATTAAAATAATAATACAAAATGTATGAAAGCATATAACATAAATATTTATTTTATAAGAATTTAGAACATTCCTCAAATCTTATTATTTGCATAGTTTTTTAATAATTCTGCACATGTCATATTAAAAGTGGTTAAAGAACCAGCATACAAGCATCTCATAACATAGCCTCTAAATAATGCTTAAATCCCTTCATCTATTAATATTCTCCAAATTCCATGTAATTAATTCTTGTAATTAAACAAACCCTCCCCAGTTTGATTTTGCTACATCTTACGAGATTAAATTTATATCCTCATTTTACTAACTGAAAGAGGCTATGTCAAAATAGAGGAAAAAAAGAATGCTCCCAAAGAAGACAGTAGAGCATGATTATTTGTTTACTCTTTAATTCATTACCATATTAATACCCTTTAAATATTCAAAACTGGCAAAATACAAAGCACTATAGGGGCCAAAAAATCCTAAGGTGGCTCCAAACCCTATTAATTTACAAATTAATATAACCTCTGTATAAGCCTAATATTCCCTCCTATTTAAAAATTTATAAGACTGCATCAATTGATCCACTGTAATTATGATGTCCAAATCTCTTTTATACCTGCAATCTTTCTTTTACTACATCAATAGGTAGCCATAAAACGCCACTAACAGTTTCAGCCAATAATCCACAACATAGATGTAATAAAAGTTTTGATTCTATTTTATGACCTATTTCTCTCTTGAAATATTGATAAGAAGTCAAATATAAAGAAAATGCAGGTCCACTTCCTATCTTTATTAATGTTATTCTTACTATAGCAATCAAGCCTCCTTTATAAAATTGTTTTATTCCTCCTTATTAGTAAACATTTTTGAATGTTTTTTGAACATCTCTTAAATTCATTTAAATTGGCTTTCTTTCAACCTGATATTAATGAATATAACAAAATTACATAAAACTGGGCTTTAACTGTATCTAAAGGATAACATAAAAATTTTCCTATGATTCCAGATATTGCACTTGCTATTGATTCTGTTAACAGAGAGCTCATAATAATAATTTTTTTATAAAAATGATATATAAAGTAACAAAAATAAGAAATAAAAAAAAGTAACAACACCTAGTCATTAAATTTTCCCATACTATTGCCTAAGGAAATCTGTTTAGTATTTAGTAATTACTATATGTTTTTTAGTTTTCTTTTTGAGTGGATTTGTATTATAATTCTAATTACTTTGATTATTTGAATTTAATGGTTATGTTAAATATCTTTCGGGTATGTTCATGTATTTCATTCTCACTTTATTATTCAAAAATTTTACTTTAATCTACAATTTATCTTAATTCACTAATTTCTTTCAAATAATCATCTTCATTCTCAGTATATGTTTTTCTTGGACTATCAAGTTAATTTTCTTCCTCTATTTATTCTTCTATTGCTATAGAGTTTTAATATAAAAATTTACGTGATTATGGAAAATATAATGCAGTTTTCTCATATCTGGGAGATATGACTATTTCATTCTATTAGCCAGTCAATTATTTATAAGCCAGAATTAAATCTGAAGCTACTTTAGATATATTTGGACCATCTTTCTTCATCGTTAAAATCAAATATAATTATTTTAATTAAAATGATTCCTGAATAATAATAGGGAATAACAGAGGAAGAGAAAGAACTCATTCTTATTGAAGAATTATCATAAAAATTAGAAGGTTTGTATAAGGACATGGAATAAATAAGGAGAGAGAATCTTTTATTTGAATCATATATAATGCGAAACTCCAAAGATTTGTAGAGAGAAGATGAAGCAGAAGATAAAAAGTAGAAAACTAAAAAGAAAAATTAACCAGTTGATAAAAAAGTAATCTATTTTTAGATTATATTAGACAATGTAATTGACAAATGAAGAGAAATATGAGATTGCTTAATTTGAGAGTGATACACTAAAAAAGAATATTGAAGAAGGCAGAATTAGATCAGATTAAATATTAGAAACATTAAGAGTATTATAATTATTAAAATTATTAGGCAATTTTAGAAGAAACAGATAAAGCTATAACAGAAATTAGAAAGGATGCTTTTGATTTTTAAAGAGAAATATTATTTGCAGGTGAAAATACAAGAACTGGTAAAATAGAAGCAGAAAGAATAGAAAAGTATTTTAAAGAGAAATTAGCATAAAAAGTATAAAAGAATAATTATTTTATTAAGGATGCATAAATTGAAAAATATAAATAAAAAAAAGCTAATATAGAATAATAAATTACTAAAACTAGCAATTAAATATAAAAGAAAGAAGAAATGGGTGATGATTTAAAATTTATTGATTTTCATTAATTATAAATTGAGAATAAAAAGTATGTTAAGTAAATTGATGAGAAAAATAAGAAATTACTTGGATTAAAAATAGCAACTGGTAAAATATCCTCTGTTTTGATAGAGGAAAGAAATCAACTCTAAAATGAAATAGATTAATGTAATAAACTTATTTAAGAAATTGATGATAAAAATAAAAAAATAGCTAAAACTTAAGAATAAACAAAAAAAGTCAAAACATAAATAGCATCATTAACAGAAAAAAAGAAAAAATTTGCAATCTAATTAGAATAAGTAAATAATGCTACTAATGAAGATATTCCTAAAGTAAATATTTATATAATTTAATAGGCCATGACATATGTATTGTAAAAAAGAAAAGAAGAAGAATTAGTATATAAGATAAGAAATACAAATCGTAAAATAGAAATAGCAGAATTAGCATATTAAAAAGCATGCAAAGCATTGGGTGTGAATCCAATATAATAATGAATAAAATAACATTTAAATTCAAAGTACAAGCGTTTTTATCTTAATTATATTATCAATATATTATGATTATTACTATAAATTCTTCTTATGGAACTGCATACATTATAAATCAATATTTATCTTACATATTTATATCCTAAATACATTTATTATCAATATAAATATTCTCAATATCATTCATTTTATACATGAATAGAGAATTTGAATAAATATTTTATCATGAAAATTATTCGTTCAATTACATATAATTTCTCCTAAAATTTACATATTGCAAAGAATTTTAGATCTTAAGCATTATTGGGGAATGAAGATGTCTATTAATGTTATCATATTTAGAAAGGAAAGTATCTAGACTCATTTACTTAAGACCTTGAGTTATTTACAAAAAATTTAATCCAAACAATAAATGATTGTAAATCAAAATAAATGAAAGCAATTTGGATTCAATTAGATTAATGTTAATTAACACTTGCTGAAAAATTAATTGAATAAGGATTTTATATGCATCATTGTACATAAAATTATTTATTATTTTCTTAATGGATTGTTGATGATGAGAAAAACCAATTACCAAATTATACTACTCATTCAATTGGTGCTGGAGGTTTAATTCTTCATAATAATTAAATTTTATTAATTTAAGAAAAAAATGGATTGTATAAAGATGAATGGACAATACCTGGAGGATTAATAAATGATGAAGAATTAATTATAGAAGCAGCCATAAGAGAGGTTAAAGAAGAAGCAGGTTTAGATGTTGAACCTTATGATTGTTTTTTAATTAGGGATCTACCTATTGCTAATTAGTATTAAGGAGATTTATATTTTGTTATTTTAATGAGATTATAAAATAATAATTAATCCATTAAAATTTAAGAATAAGAAATTAAGAATTTTAAGTGGGTTGAATTGAATGAATTATAAGAAGTAAAATTTAACAAATAAACAATTTAGTTTTATTAGAATAATAAATTTGGAATGGTTTAAAGCAGGTTAATGGAATCTTTAATTCAATTTAATAAATAAAATACATTTGATCATTAGTTTATAAGTTTAGATGCCTAATCAAAAGAAATGTATGGTTAAATTAAAAAATATTGTTTATTCAAACCAAAAAAATAACTAGGAATATGAATGTTATTTTAATTTATTTCTATCATTCTAATTCTTTTCGTTTCTAAAATTATAGAAGTATATCACATTATAAATATAATTACTAGATTTATACAATAATGAAATTATAATCAAAAATATTTTTAAGATTAATTAATCTTATAATGATTCATTTTTATCATCTCTGTAAAAAAAAACAGAGTTATTTGATATTTAAGCAGAAACTAATAACTTTCAGAAATAGTTAAAATTTGTTAAATACATAATATTATTATTCAAAAAATGAAATAATATGAATTTTTATTTATTTTGGAAATACAGCAACAAGAATCTTTAAAAGTTATTGAAGATAGGTGATTTAAGATATAAAAATACTAATGTTAAGTCCAAAAAAGAAGTAGTTGAATTTAATTACTATGATACTAGGTCTGGGTTTTCATTTCTCTATTGGATTTAAGAATTACATTCAGATATTAAATAATAGAAAAAACTAAATTATGAAAAGATTTGAATATTTAGAATTCAGAAGTTAACCGAATGAAATAATATTATTTAATATATATTAATATATATTATTGATAAATGTTTGAATGGATGCCTATTCTAAAAGGAAAGTATTTCACAGCTGAATAATATTTACAAATATTAGTATTAGTCAATTTGTTAATTTTTGGATTGATTTTCTATAAGTAAAAAAAATTCAAGAACCTTGTATCCATTACTATTAATTTAGCAATTTTGTCTTTCTCTTGGTTTGGAGATTTTAAATACCTATCATTGATTATTCTAATTATTTACAATAGAAATTCACTCTCAAGGATAATTATTGTTGTAATACTCTATTTGCTCACATATGATGTTTGTTTTGCAATGCATAATATCGATCAAGGTTTCATTTTTAGTTTAGATGGTGCTGCTTTCAGTACTTAATTCACTAGATTGTTTTTAGATAATAACAAATTTCATTCATATATAACATTGACATAATATCATAATGCAATCATTTTCAACTTCTAAATTCAAGATTAGTCTAATTATGTAGTCTATTGTAATTCTGTTTAATAACGTATCACAAATACCAAATTATATGATAGATATGTTTATCATAGTGTTATTAAGGTAGATAAATAATAAAATAAAATACAAATTTTTGATGATTCAAAATTGATAGGTGAATATTATTACTATGATTTTAATTCTACTAATATAGTAATAATAGATGGAGGGGATTCAGGTTACACTGAAACTTCTATTCAAATATGGAAAGCTATGGAATCTTTACCTCAAATTGATGCAATCAATATAGGAGGAGATGTGGCATATGATAATGGATTTATTTAATGCACAACATGTTGGGATAAATTCTTAGATTTATATGAAAATTTATGTAAATAAAAAGGGAAATTGATACCCTTAATATTTTCAATTGGTAATCACGATGTTGGAAGAGTTACTGATCCTTAATTGTTATACAATAATTAATAAAATTCAAAAGTACCCAATATAATTTAAATGTTTCCATAATAGTTGATAAATAAATAAATTCCTTAGGTTTAGGATAGAACTTCATATTTTGTTCATAGAATCGGACCCATTAATTTTATTACAATTGATAGTGGATATATGACAAAGTAAATTAAAATTTATATTTAGTTCTGAGAGCCAAAAAGAGTTTTTATAAAATTGTATAGAGAAAAATAAAGTTAATTTAGTTAGTTATCATGTACCAGTTGTTCCTCTATAAGTAGAGGATGAAAAGTTTTTATGGAATTTAGGAGATGAATTAAATAAAGCTGTTTTAGTTTTTGAACATCATAAACATAATTTTAAAAGAACTAAAAGAATTTAAGTTCTTAAATCTGATAGTAAATTAAAAGTTTATCCTGGGAATACTTATTATGTAGGAAATGGAGCAATGGGAATATAGTCTGCTAATAAAGTTGAGCATGCAATAATAGAAAAATCAAGTAGATAAGCTCATTTTTGGGTATATAATTATGATAATGGTCTATAATATGTTTATGCAATTAATAAAGATGGAAATAGGATAGATTATTTTGATATAGATTAATTTAAAGTAAAATGATATTTTATTCATAAATTATATTAATTCTATTCACAAATGTATTATTTCAATTTTAAAATGAGTAATGTTTTCGTTAACTTAGTGATTCTCTATTATGATTAGGTTTTAAAATGATTCTACTAGTCAATATTTTATTTGGTTATATAAAATAAATCTAATCTGGGTCAATATAATTTTTGGTTTAATTATTTGTTATAAGCTTGGTTTTAGGAATGATGATGTCATTTTTTTTATCTTTCTTAATTTTGGATTTAATGAATTCAACTTCAGCATAAGCAGGACTCATATCTAAAGAATTAGGAGATAAGAGATTATGTAAATCATATATATTCTGATATTCTGACCATTCTGTATCGAATATTTTATTATATTTATCTCCTCTTTTATGGATAGAATTGTTAATCTGAGATGTTTGTTTTTATTATTAACTTTTTGTTAATCTTCTTTTAGATAAAACAGAATTGAATTTATATGACTTTAAAACTCTATTATTAATTGTGATTGAATTCTTTTAATTTTCATCAATTTTATACTGCTCATTAAATTTGACTAATTTGTTACATAATTTTTAGCAATCAACAGTTTATAATAGGGGAACCTTACATTTTAATTTATGTGAATATTCATTATCTGCATTTCCCCCTTTTAAAATTTAATGAATTTTATTTTAAATATCTTTTACTAATTTATTATCATCTTGCATTGAATTAGTAGTTGTATATAATGATTATGTTATCATTGTAGTATTAAAAGAAACCTTTTTATTAGTGTCCATTATGAACTGTTAAAGTATTTGTAACAAAATAAAAATTAAAATATTATAATTATAAAATAAATACATATAATTATATTTATATACAATATTCACATAGTATCATGTTGATGCTGTTCAAAAGTTGGAAGTTAATCAACAGTAGGTTCATCACTTGGACTAATCTCACCTGATGAAGAATCTTATTGACAATTATCAAATAGTAAATTTACTATTTAATGATTAAATCTAGGAGACGCTGCATTTGAATCACAATTATTAAATGTTGTCATTAAAGATTCATTTTTTTCTAAAATAGGTGCTAGAGTGAACCTTTAGGATTTTATTGGTTTTTTTTTATGTTATTGGTTAGTTGGACTTGTTGGAGCAGATTAATTATCTTTATGATATTCCTTTTTAACATTATTCATCATTAAAGCTTCAAAAGAACAAGCTTTATCTCTAATAGATATTTCTGATGTTGCTGTTAATTCAATAAGAGGTTTAAAGACTTCTGACCAATCAAAATTATAATCTTATTCTTATCTTCCTAAATATTAAATAAATGGCTATTTAAGTATTTCATAATTAGGAATCTCTTTTATCCCTAATTTAAATACATTTTAAAAGAAATATAAAAATGCTTCAGGAAATTATTTCAATTCCTTCTCTGGTAGAAATTATCTTTTGAATTCCATATAAAATTTATCTCTTATATTTTAATCCTTTGATTAACATTTAGTTGGTAATTTGCCTTAAGATAATAAATATAATAAGAGATAACCAAGAGATTCTAAATCATCTCGGGGAGAAGGTACTAAATTAATTATTAAATTTACATTGTTGTAGATGTTATCCAATACTACTGAACTTATTTGTTTTTATATGAATTTATTTAGATTTGTTAGAAATTTTACCATCTTTGTTGAGGAATTCTACATAATCATCAAAATTAGTTAATAATAAATTTGAATGATTTGTAGTCATGATACATGATAATTTTAGACTTCTATGTAAAATATTTTAATTATGAATTTACTATAAATTAGAAATCTTTATACTAATTATTATTATATAATTACCATTTTTAATGCAACCAAAGTAATAGTTTTAAGAGAAAATTTATATTTCATCAATTTAAAGCATAATTTCAAAGATGGTCCACTCTTTTACCATGCAATATAATGATAAGTAATATCTTAGACTACCAATGTTCCCATTTTATATATCCTTGGTATTGGTATAAATCTAGACATTCTATTAAGATGATCATTAGATTTATCTCTATAATCAATTGCTATCCTTTATAATAAACATATATTACATTACTCCAATCGTTTAAATAATTTACAAATACATATTTAATCAGTTATCTAATTATGATAAACACATCATTATACTATTTAAATTAAGATCTATTTTTGTTCTTATTAGATGTCTACAGCATTGTAAAAATTAGAATGTCGACCTTAATAATGTAAGGATGCAAGTAAATATCGATTATCAATTATGACTGGTTGATCTTTATTCATTTATTTTATACTAATAAATTAAAATAATGGAATTCATAAAAATTATTTATTCTTTTCATATTTAATTATATCATAATCTTGTCAAATAATTCTCTTCTTACTATATTTCTAATTTCACTTATCTTATAACTATTTAATTACATTATTTAAAAAATCTATAAAACCTTTAAGATAATTAAAAACAAATAAAATGGATACAATAATTATTAAATCAAAAAAATATTTATGTATTGATATAAATACAATATTTCATAAGAAATAAGGAAGAACATTCTTTGGATTAATGCTTTTACCACTTTCAGGAACCTCTCTGAATGTTTTCCAGGTAGATTACAAAGAATTATCTAAACAAAGAATTGAAGCAATATTTCCACATCTATAACAATAATTTGGAGCTGACCATACAGTAACCAAATTTTAATCCTAAATTATTTAATTAATATTACAGGGAACCAATATTTATATCCTTCCATTACTAATTAATGAGCTCTACAAATTAAACTAAGATCATTCAATCTACAAAACTCTTTTGTAACTTTAGCACCAAATAAATATCCAGCTCCTCTTGAATTAACAGCCCAATATTCAACATCTTCTGGATCTGACCACATTAAATCACAAAATGGACCTTCATGAGGAATTTCAACCTTAAATTTTCATAACTTTTTTTTTTTACTTTTCTATCAATAGTTCTTATTTAATCTACTGTTCTCATATCTGGTGACAATCCTCCATGAACACATAATATTTAGCCTTCTATTAAAGCAGCTAATGGTAAACAATCGAAAACATCCATAAATAATCTCCATGGACTACTATTTCCATATTTTCTCAAAATTTCTTCATAAAATCCATAAACTTAAGTGCATTGTCTTGATTCATGATTTCCTCTTAATAATACAATATTTCCTGGATATTTTACTATTTATAAATATAATCTTCTCTTACCTTTTAAACATAGCAAATATTCTAAAGTTTCTACACTATTATATCCTCTATCAACAAAATCTCCTATAAAAATGTAATTATGATCAGGAATATCACCACCTTCCTTCATCAGAGCCTACAAATCATAAAATTGGCCTATGTCATTTAATAATATCTTTACCATGAATATCACCACAAACATTAACAGGAGCTCTAACAGGTTATACGTTAGATTCTTCTAAGAATATTTCTTTTGCTCGTTCACATATAAGTTTAAGATCTCTTTCTGGAAGACATCCTCCTGATAACAGTGATGAAATATGTCGGTCGATGTCCATTATTAATTAAAGATTTTACTTATTTTATGTAATAAAAATTTAAATAAAAACTTTAAAATATAATTATTGAATGTGAATAACTTAAGAATTTTGATGCAAGTTTTAATTAAGAGATATCCAATTACTAAATATCATATGAGATTTAACAATATTATAATAAGAGCTTAATCTGAAGAGACAAAGAAGTAAAAAGAGGATAAATAATTGAAGTATGAAAGATGAATATATATCAAAATGAATATTAAACTTCATAATCACCTTTGCTAATAATTTATTGATTTTACTCAATATAATTTGGAAAGTTCTAACAGGAAAGCTGAAAAATATTAAATCTAAGAATAAACTTTTTTCGATAGAAATCCTGTATTTTAACAATTAAAATAAAGATAAATGATGGAATTTTAAATCATCTCTGTAAGCAAGACATTTTTCTATTCAATAACAAAAATTTCGTATAAAAACTATAAAGACTTTGTATGATTAAAATGAGTTTTAATATAAAATTTGATTAATTTTTTAATTAACAACCAATTATGGCAATTGCATTCAAAAGATCATCATTATCCTAAAAAGAATAAGAAGCAAAAAATAGATTTTATGGATTACCACCATAATAATCATCACCTCCGTAAGTTTTATGACATATATTAGTACAAAAGACAAACCTTAAAAAGAATAAAAGAGACAATCTCAATCAAATTAATAAAAGTTATAAGTTCCATAATAATAATAAAAGGATGGTTTTGAGGCTGCTTATAATGCACCATCAAACGAATAAATAGATTAGTTTTATAAGAATATAGAGAATGATTTTAAATAAGTTGCTTAAAGTAATATTACTATATTAATTAAATAGAGTAAGTAACAATGGGAATGTTAGTAAGTTAATAAGAGTTGATGAAATAATAATAAGAAATCTTAATTCGTAATCAATAACAAATGTAATAATTTACATAGTAAAATAATACAAATAATAATAACAATAAGTAGAATTCAAATAATTAAGGAGAATAATAAATGATGATGAATCTCCTAACACCTATTAATCAATAATTATAAGAAATAAAATAATTATATTAATAGACATAATAATCTTAATCTGAAATTAGATAATAAATATAATCATAAAATAGTAATATCAATTTTTAATAATATGATTCACAAAATAATCAATTAAAATAATTATTAGATACAACTCAACATAATTTATAATTTTTAAGACCAGAGAATTTATAGACATTATAAAATTTTACAAACTTTAATTTATAATTATATTAGGATACAATTAATAATTTATAAAATTAAATATATGCCTTATAAAATGAAACACAAACAAGTGAACAAGAATTACATGTTAAATATAAATAATTAAATGATGCACATATGGTTAGAAAAATTTAAAAAGTATCTTAATATGAAGAAGAAACAATCTAATAATTAGAAAAATAAATTAATTCTATTAATTTTGAAAAATCTTAACAATATATCAACTAAAAATTAGGTGGACATTTTGATTATGATTAATTTTCATAAGACATTACAGATTTAACTACTGAAGCATCTGTTGTATATTCCTAATTTATAGATAAAGGATTAGATTATGAAATGTATATTCCAGAATATTAATTTGATTCTTCTGATTTAGAGGCTCTTAATAATAAACCAAGTTCTATTCTTGATGAAATGAAAGCAGCTTTAGGAATTACTAATAAACCACCTCCACCAAAACCAAAATAAATATAACAAGTACCTGTAGTTTAACCTATTTAACCTTTAGGAGAAATGTAAAAGAAAACACTAAAACCTAATCATTTAGTTAATTTACCAACTAAACCAATTGAACCTCCTAAAGATATAAAATTTGAAAAATAATAAACTCCATAAGATTATAAACCTATATTTAAAGAACCTCCAAAATAATAATAATAATAGTAATCTGGTTAGAAAAATTAAAAATAAAAACCTTTTAATATTGAGAAAGCTGAATACAAATAAAAACCAAAGTAGTAGATTGAAGATGAATCAAAAAAATATGGAGTGATTGAATATTTGTAAAATGATTAGTCTTTTGATGAACCTAAATATGAAATATCTTATAAAAAGAAAGAAAATTAAGAGATCAATAATAATTATGATAATAAAACAAGATAAAAATAAAATTAATAATTAATTTCTCCATTAAAATATTAAGTTGAAGAAGCTGAAAGAATTCAAGAAAATAATGTTTAAATAAATAAACCTTAAGATTATAAAGATATTTATAATTATCAAGAAGTTAAATATAATTACTAAGATTAATTAAATGATCCTAAATTTATTAATTATGACGATTTAATCAATTAAGTATAATAAACAAATAACTTTACTTCTTAAGAATAAAAAAGTGGAGCTTTATTAGAGAGACTAGGAATGAAATAAGAAAATCCAAAAAATGAATTTGAATTAATAGAACTCTTATCTAGAGATATTGTTAAAGATAAATTAGTTTAATAAAAATAATTAAATGTTTAAGCATAAGATATGATTAATAAAGAGAAAATTCTAAAAAATCAATCTATTCAAATTTAACCAGATTAACCAAACTTATAAGATTAAATAGCTATGGGAGCCTAAGCATTTTTCTAAGGTCTTTTGACTGCATTTAATTAGACTTTAAATTAAGTTAATGACGGAATTTCAGGAAATGCTGCTTAATAAGCAAGATAATTAATAAAGATTTAATAACAACTTGAATCAAGTGAATACACAGATACTGAAGAAGAAGAAGCAAGATAAAATTAAGAATATCATTAAAAATAAGAGAAATTATTAGATAATTAGATTTAAGGATCTAAATAAAAACCAAATAGACCAGCTCCTTTTTAAAATACATAAGTTTTATAATAATATACTTTTGCATCAACCTTCTCTTAATAATAATAAAATTAATAATAATTATAATAACAACCAAAAGAAGTAGGATAAAAAGGTGTAAATGATATGAAAAATTATCTAAATTAATTTGCTTTAAGTGATAACTCTTAACTTACTTAAAATAAAAGTGGTTCTTCTTATGCAGGTAGTATATTTAAATTAGATGATTCATATGGTCATAAAAGTGAAGGATAAGTATCTATAAATGAAGGAAAAGGAAATAAGGTAATATATACTTTAATAATTATTAGAGAGGTTAAGTTACAAAAGATATATTTAAAGACTTAAATTAAGATCTGTCAGATAGCGATGTTCCTTAATATAGATCAAAATTTTAATGAAATTAATATATCGATTTTATACTGAATTTATTATTGAATTATAAGAAATCTTTGATTTTTAAAAAATGTTTAATATTTTGTAGTTTTAAATATATGATAATTTATTATAAATGATTTCAATATATTTCAATAAGTTATTTGTGTATTATAAATATTATATGATAAGTTCATAAATTTCTAAATAATTAAAGCTAAAGTAGTATTTCTTTACTGCATTTTAATGTATAAATTGAATTGAATCCAAAAATATAAAAATATTAAATAATATATAATGAATTTATCTGAAGAAGATATTGAACAATGTTAAAGAGCGTTTAACGATTTAGACGATGTAACTTTGTTTGTTTTATAGATTTTGATAGAGAGGAGAAGGAGAAATCATGGCTGATGATTTGGAGATTGCCTTAGAAATGGTAGGATTGAAGTAGAAACCTCATAAAGTTCACAAATTAATAAGTGAGATTGATGATGGCAATCGTGGACGTATTAAATTTAAAGAGTTTTTGGGTCTCTATGCCAAACTTAAATATGCTGGGTTATAAGATGATGATTAAGATATGATTGATGCATTTGTAGCAATGGGAGGTAATGAAGACACAACAGGAAATGTTGATGCAGAAAAGTTGATTCGAATAATTAAGAATGAATTTGAATTAACGATCGATATTGAAGGATTAATTAAAGAAGTTGATACTGATGGATCAGGAGTAATAGAGTTTGGAGAGTTCAAAGAACTATTAAAAACTAATTACTTATAAGAAGATGAAAATGACTATCCTTGATTTGACGCCATATGTTTAAATATATTGCTACAATTCTAAGCCTAATTAATTATAAATAAAATTAATATTCCTCATCATCATCCGAATCAGAAAATCGAATGAAACTATCAATCTGTTTATCCTCTAAATAGATATTGATAATTATATAAATGATATCTTATAAGCTTTATATATATTCTAATAAATTATCTATTTTTATGAATAATTATAAAATATATATATATAATTTTTACTATAAATATATATATTTCTATCTTTTTCGTAAATAGTATATGAATTCATTAAATAGATGGTTATTTCATCATGAATGTTTATTCACCTAAATCAATAGATAAAGGACTTCCATAAGAGACTTTTTTATAATGAATTATATTTGATCTTGTATTTATTTTTTACTAAATTAACGCTTTTTTAATCATTTGAAATCGAGAAAGTGCAATTTTCTTTTTCTCACTTCTCAAAGTTAAAATATTTTTCAACCATGGACATATGTATTTTATTTTTGGGTATTTGTATAATATCTTTTATCTTATTTAATCAAGTCTTTCATTATATTTAGTGTAATATACTTGAACTACTTTTTTTATTATAGTGTAAATAAAGTACAATGATAAAATAATTTATAGAATCTGAAAGAGATTATCAAGATTTTGCTATCCCATAATCTTAGTTTAATAATGAATAGAACTTAAAATAATAATGATTCCACATAAAAGAATACTTTCTTATTCAAATTAATTTAAGACTTAAAGATTGTATGGTTAAAAATAAAGGAATATAAAGAAATATAGGATCAAAACTAGTAAAGTAATAACACTTTTGAAGATTACTCTTTCCTCATTAATTATTAATGATAACATTATTACTTCTCTTTAAAATATCTTTATTATTTCCCAATAATAACTATTCTCTTTGTAATCATTAAATAAATAACCCCATATTTTTCGAGTTCGTTCAAAATGAAAATAATTCCTGATCTTGTAGAGTATCAATAATAGAAGCAAAGGTATTATTCCTCCAAATATTACTAAAATTGGCCCAACAAAAAATTTTATCCAATTTTAATGCTCTTAAGTATAATATAAATATGATGTATTTATATTGATGTAATCAATCATAGATATTGTTCTATATGCAATCAATCCTCCAAATTATTTTATTATATTAGGTTAAGTGTAAAAAAACAAATAGATCAAGGCTGTAAAATATATGGTTGAAGTTAGAATCATCTTTTGGCAAATGACTAATATTAAATAACTTGTTAAAAAGAATAGATAATATATGGCTGGTAATATTATGTACATGATTTAAGTAAGATAAATTATTTTTATTTTAGAAGAGCTAGCAAAATAGCATTCAAAAGAAAAAGTAGAACTTCCTATAGGATTACTTATTGGCATTAAAATATCAATAATATTTAAATACATATCTAATTGAAATGATTTAATACTAACTAGTATTTAACAATAGTTAACGATCATTTTAATAAGTGCCGCAGATTAATCTATTAATAAATTTTAATTACAATATACCTAAATTACTGCAGAAGATTATTTTATAATATTTAGTAGTTTGTTTGAGCAATTTAAAACTCTTAAAGACACTATTTACACTAATGACTGTTAAATATATTGAGATAATGGCTCTAAAATTAATATATATTTATTACATTAAATTTATGAAGAATGAAAAAAAAATATCTCCAGTAAATCCACTGCAGATTTCACATTAATAATTCTAATTTTTAAAATATTATCCAAATCCTCTAAAATTATATATATCACATTCTTCGCATAGAGCTCCAATAGATCCTTCTTCACAAGATTCATCTCCAATCTACCAACCTCCTTAACAATTATTAGTTTTTTTCTAACATTTTGATATATAATGACTTCTTATGTTTGGTCTCCAATATCCAGGATATAATTCAATATTATTTATTGTATTAGATTTGATAGTCTTTGGATCTACTTTCTAACAATTATATGCTTTTGGTTCTACTGAATAGAAACCTTTCTTATAATCACATAATAAACATTAAGATTCAAAATAATATTCTCCCATTTTACATGCAAAACTTTTAGCATTGAATTAAAAAGTATAATTTAGATTTCTTATAGAATTACATTTGAATTTAAATCTCTAAAATTATATATCATTTGAATAAGGATCCAATACTATAGAATAATTTGTTAAATCAAAGGATTGACTACTAATATTGTATGTTATTTTCTGTTCTTATTAATCAATTTTATTAATTATTATATTGTCTTAGTTAATCTAATCTGACAAATCAAGTATACATACAGAATTTTCTTTTTCAAGTTAAACCTCATTTAAATTGTTTATTGGTAAAATCTTGAGTTATATATTATAGACTTTATTAAGAATTACTTAATTTAAAATCTATTGTTCATAATATCCAATTTTCTATCCACTAGGAATGAAAATAAAATTATCCATATTGTATTTTGCAAAATTTGGTTTTCCTAAATTTACATCTCTATTTGTCATAATTCTCTATCCAAATACAGATAATTATAAATGACTAGGTTATTCACTAACATTTGGGATCTGATCATTTGCTTTATTGTCAATAAATAAGATTTATAATAAAGTTTCAGGAGATATTCTAGTATTTTCAATGTACACAGCTCCTCCAATATCTGCAGAATTATTTATAAAATAGATATTTTTTAAATTTTTTAATTCATTAATTGATTTATAAAAAAGACCTCCACCTATTGTACCAACATTATTTAAATATAATAAATTCTTACCAGTAATTTAATCAATCTACAAATTCATTGCACCATTTCTTTTACCAATATTTGAAATGAACATACTCTTACTCATTTCAACATGTAAACTTTAATTTACAAATAAACAATTAGATTATCCACAATAATTATTATATAGTAAAAGGTCTGATATTTTACATTTTTAAACATTTTAATCTAATTGTAAATATATTAAACCTTTCAAACATGATTGACATGAATTATTTATTAATAATATTTTAGTTAATTATAAATTTATCTATTATTTTTTATTGATATTTGCAATAATAATGCTAAAAAAAGAATTACTTAAAAAATTATCAATATTTCTCTCTGAAAACTAAGATTAAAAAATAGTTATATTAGTTATAGCTATATTTATTATTTCTTTTTATAAAGAATTTTCAGATAAAATGAGTCCCTTATATTATATAGTTATAAGGTCATTACTAAATGCATTTACTTAATTTAAGTACATATTGCTTAACAAAATTGAATTTTAAAATTGAAGAGTTATGATATTTTAAGTAGCTATTCCCTCAAAATATAGATTTTTAATTTATATATTGCTAATATAGGAATAATAATGTGTTACCTATTAAAAATTGATATAATCCCATTTCTGGTTTAATTAGTCTATTCAAAAATCTTACTAAAACTCTAATAATACTAAATCTCATCGAGATTAATAATGATATTTTATAATTTTACACTGTTTAATTAATTATTACCCTAGAAATCAAAATCCAATATTATTTTACTCTAAGAATAAACATTTGTAAACATTATATCATTGAATGAGATTTAATTATTAATTGTTGATGGAATTAAATAAAAAAAGCCATTTTAATTCTTGCTTTTACAATTTATTATTTTAATAGAGTTTAAATTTAAATTTAGTTTTGAATTAATTGAATTTATACCCAAACATCCGCCAACTGCATATTCTTAATCTTTTGACCAACTTGTAGCATTTTCAATATAAATATCATTTAATTCTACACTTCCTAATTTAATCAATTCTAATTAAAAACATGATGCTTAATAAGCAAAAATATTTAACAAATTTGAATTATCAATTTAAAATAATTCAGTTTTAGCAAATATTACACCTCCAATAGATTTACTAAAAATATCTTAAATGATTTAATTAGGATCATAATTGATATTTTATACTCTCATTTCCTTTATCTTTACTTTTTTAGAATCTAAATAAATTAGAGAATTAGAAGTATTTAAAATTGTATTTTAATTAAAAATGTTCTTGTTCATTAATATATTTTACTAATAAACTTAAATATAAATGAGTCCAGGAGAAATAAATGAATAATCATCTAAAAAATGAAGAATTAAATTATTTTTAAATGTAGATTGATTAATAACTGTTTCACAAAAATACTCAGAATATATATATAATAGACTGGCAAATTAAGTACTTTCTGTTTTAATCAAATAATTATTATGAAATTATAAACAGTTTATTATTATTTTCTAATAATTTAAGGCTTACCCTTTTGAAATCAATAATATTTATGCTGAATTTTAAATTAAATGATTTTCTATTTATATATTATTGAATTCAATATTCACAAATTCTTGAATATAGAATGCTCCACAACTTTCTAGCCTCTGATTTATAGATGATTTAAACAAATTAATCTAAGATGGGGTTAAAGAATAGGAATATAAATAATTTCCTTATATGATTACATTATTAATTGTAATTAAAGTAAATTTTTAAAGACAAAAATTCCATTAGTTATTTGTATTTTTAATTATAATATTTTCAATTAAAATTGTATGACTGCTATAAGTAAATATACATTAATTTGAATTACATTAGTTTTAGCATGAAGAAGATAAGTTTTTTGCATCAAAATTTTACAATTTAATATATCCATTTTGATCTTTATCATTCTTAATTGAAATTAAATCTTTTCCACATAAATCTAAGTTATTTAATGTTAAATTTGTAATTAAATGATTATATCCATTTTTATTTAATTATTGTGTGAATATGATTAAACTGCTCTTTAAAAAAAAACATTAATAAATTAATAAATATTCTATTGAAAATGAGGAAACAACATTAATTAAAGTACTATTAGAAATTTTACATTCAATAATATCTAATTTTGAAATAAAGACAATATTTGAAATTGGTATTCTAAAAATAATACTATTTAAAATTTTAGAATTCTTAAATAAAATCATTTCAGCTAAATAGTATTTATTAAAAGTTATAGAATTAATTGTTATAATTGAAGAATTTTAGAGATAGCTATTAATTACTGTTATCTAGTTTAGTTTTAATGATGAAAATTCTGATTCAGATTGTGTAGAAAATGATATAATTTATGAATTTGTTAAATTACAATCCATCAATATGATATTTTCTACATAAATATAAAATTTTTGGGTTAATTATTTTTGATAATGTTCTATTGAAAATAAAGGTTGATTTAATATTGTAACATTAAACAATGAAATTGTATTAATATTAACATTAGTAGTTTATGTAATTTAAAAAATGGTTTATTCTAAATCTAAATTGGAAATAGAGATATTACTAATAAATAGTGAAACACCAAATGTGGAATGTACAAAAAAATTATTTGATTAATAATATATTCTAATATTCTTTAAATTTACAGTAGATTAATTTGAAATTACAAATTACTTTTCATGATAACTATCGTTATATCCATCAAAAAGTAATGTTTAATTTCTTAAAGAAAATATTTATTCTCTTATATTAATAGGATCGGAATTACTTTGACTGTTATATTTATAAATATAAACATCAGGTTTGACTTGTTATAAATAGTTTTTTATGATATTAAATTGTTTAATTGGATTTTCAAGAGATGGAAAACTTTCAGGTTCTAATTGTAATTTATATCTTCTTTTAGATTAATCTTTCCCTTTAATTTATCCTGTATATGATTCAACATATGTATAATCTTCTTTAAAATTAAAAACACAAAAGTAAGTTTATTTAATTGATTGCTCATTTACAATAAAGTAAGGATTAATAATTTATATTTAATCTAAAGAGATTTTCTCACATACTTAACATGGATATGGGCATTATTAACATTAATTATCAAAATATGATAAAACAGGAAGATCATCAACACTATTTTTACAAACCTTGCAAATTTGACTTACTATATCATATTCAATACAATCTTAATTTTTTAATTTATTGCAATCCAAACCAAATTATAAATAACCATCCTAACATTTTAAGATTTCATACCATTCTATAAAATAAATACCTTAAACAAGGATTGGCACTTTATTTGGTTTGAAATTTAAATAAAAACTTTAAACTTGATACTTCCAATTATCATATTTAGAAGTTGTCATTTAGCATAATTGTGATTTACTGAATTTAGCAGAACATAATTAACAGATTCCATTTAAGAAATTCAAGAAATATCCATAATCACATTCTACACATTATATCATTCCATTAAAATCTTATAGACATTTTGAACAATTTGAATAATAATTCTAACAATCATTAAATTGAATAGCAATGTTCCTTTAAATTTAATTTTTAGATAACAGAGTATAAGTACAAATAAATTAACCATCTTCTTAAATAAAACCATCTACACATTAATTATCTGGTGTATATTCAACACATTAATTAATCCAAAAATTAAAAACATATCCTGGAAAACATAATGAACAAGCAACAATATAATCTTCTTAATTTTATGAAATTTCTCCTAATTAAATTGAAACTTAATTTTTGTCAAACTTATTATATTAAAAACAATATTTGCAATTTTTTATATCACATGTTCTACAAATACCTAAAACATCCATAAAATATTTTGAAGGATCTATACAATACCAACATTATTTAAACATACAATATCCACAAGCCCGTTAACATTATGATATACCTCGATAATCATCTGAATCTTATTCTTCAAGACACTTTTTTACATCTTTCTAGTATTCACCATAATAACAAGTAATATATATATCCAAATCAGGACGTTAATCATCATATTTAATACAAATAACATTTCTTTCTTAAACATCTTGATCTGTACAACGATCACATCCATCACAACCAACTAATTCCTCATCAACTACAATAAATAAAGCTGTCTAACTTTTTGAATTATAATTATGAGAATACACATTATTAATAGAACCTTAAAATTGTATATATTATTCTTCACAAATACCTTTAATCTACCATTTTTCAGGGTTTTATAAGCATTCTAAACAATTTAACATTCCCTTTTAAGAAGCAGAAGGACTAATCTAAATTAACAAATTATTACCATTATATGCAAATATCTTTATATTTAAAATACCCAAATGCACAAATTATATCTTAATCTTCTGATTCATATCTATTGTCTATAGGTAAATAATTGAAAGTTTCTTTGATATTCATGTCAGTAGATCCATAACATTTTGATTATTTCTCTTCTACATACCATAATTTACATTAACATGTATTAGTTTACTGATCATAAATTCGATTATCTGAATCTAAACAAGAAAGACATTGATTATTAAAAGGTCCCCAACAATTAAAACAAGAATAATGACAATTCTATTGTCTTTCTTCATCATTTAATTTACTAACAAGGCTAACATAATTGAAATAATTAAATAATGCTATTTCTCCATCTAAACTTATTTTTTAAGTGTTATTAGCTCCAAATTAAAATTCTAATAGTATATCTGAAAATTAATAAACTTATTTGAATTATATTTAGTATCTTAAATTTTTTATAAAACTATTTATTTTAAATACAAATATATTCATTACATATTTTATTTCTATAAAATGCCATTGTGTAATTACATCTTATTCAATGTTTTAAGAGTAACTTTATTTAAATTCTTTTATTAAATCTATATTATATACAAAAGGATAATTATAAGAAAGATATTCAATAAAGTAAGACCATTATTCTTATATCTTTATATAGGTTAATAAAAATAAATTTATGTCTTATTAGAAATTATGAGGTTTAATTTTTAGAATACATATTTATTATTAATTAACTTCTTAAATGTTTATTTTAGACCAAAACTAAATATCATAACTTCTATTATAATTAAATTAACTAATAATATTCTTTTTATTTAAATATGAGTATTGTAAATATGAAATTAATGGATTAATATTGAGATATTAATCTATTCCTTAAAAAAAATTATCTTGATATTCTCTCAAAAGCATAATATTACTTATTTAATATAATTTCACCTCCCCAGGAAAGTTAATCAACATTAAGTTTTGTTTAGAGCTATCCTTTATAATCTATTATCAATTCATAATAATACTTAAAAACTTTATCCATACATAAGGATCAGGTCTTAAAAACAATTAGGATCACTTTAAAAAGTATTAAATTGATTTTAATTCCCACAATCTAATCCCACTATTAATTCTGTTTCATCTTTAAAGTACAAATAATGAAAACACCAATTTCCTTCATATTTTAAGTTATCCATATCAAATTAGACTTCTATATAATTCGAACAACCTTAAATAATAAAAAAATGAACAATTTTCTAAAGAGAAACAAGAAATTCAACATAATACGCAAACCGTAGTTCTTTAGTTTGTATTTGTTTTGCTATGTATATTAAATAACTATTTTAATCTTTTTTCTCTATATTTTCTGGAAAAACAACATTGCTTAAAGGTGAATATTTGGAAATACATCCAATAACTTATTCTTTTTATATATTTATCTTAGGAAAGTTTAAATAATTAAGCTCCTCTTACTGATTGTATTATTGAGAACTAATTTTGGCAAACATCATTAAAATTAAAAACATAATTGATTTATTTATTTTACTTATTTAATTCTTTGAAATTAAATGATCTAAATAAAAATTGAATTTCAAGTTTTAAAACATTATTGCCAAAAATATGCCCTTCAATATAATATCAATTCTTAAATAAACAAGATATACTTTATTTAAAGAATGCAATATTTAATAATGTTATGCTTTGATATTAATATAATTTTAATTAGGCAAATATATTATAGTAATTGTAAATTCAAATAAATAATAGACGAAATAAGAATCTATAAAATATTTCTTTTTTTAAATATGTTCATAAATATATCAGCTAAATTTAAAATTTTCCAAATATATAGAATTTCAGAATAGCTTCTTTGAATTAAATACTATACTAAAACTTAAAAAATATAATAATTTTATTACGATGATCAACAATTTATGAATATAAAAAATCATTTTTTTGAAATTAAGTACAAATTTATTTGATTATAAATATTTGGGAACATAATATATGTGACAATTAGAAATTAAGGATTATTTTTATTTAATGAATAAATTTTCATTTTAATTAAATTTAATGATAAAAGTTTAATCTTCAGCAGTATGATAATTATTTATATTAATATGGATTTTAATTTTCCAAAATTGTCGAGACCAGCAAATAGAAAAGAAATAATATAGCTCTTTCAGCGTTATTTAACACTTTTATACATATTAAAATTCAACTTATAAATTCCTAAGGACATTTCATCTATTATATTATTTGTTACTACAATTTATCCTATATTTATTACTTTAGAATAATCAACCTTTGATTCTCTAAAATAAAACTCAATGTATTCCATATTACTTTTTAGCTTTCGACCTGATTTACTATATTAAAGGTACAATATAAAATTTTTAATATTAGCTCTTTTCTTTACCTCATCCCTTTGACTTTATTTTTACTTCATAAATTAAGTGCCATCATATTACTATATTATTATTTAATATCAAAAACATAAGATAGATTTATTAGATAAATTTCTAAAAAAATATTTTTGAAAGTGTTAGGGATATTTTTTACTTTGTACTAAAAATTAATTAGTACATTTTTACTAATAATATATAGTTTACTTTGTATTGTCAGCTTTAAAGTATAATTTAAATAGTAGAAATAAGATACCTTGTATTAATTTCATATCATTATCAATATAATCACAATTCTCTTATTTTTCATAGAATCATTATTCACTATATATTGTTATGAATCATCAATAACTCATTAATAAAGAGATATAGAAAGAACTAGATTTACTTATTTGAGAGCACTCTATTAATTTTTAATAATAATATAAGTTTCTATGATATTTTTAGGGAATATGTAATATTATCTATAAATTTAATCATTTATAGCAATATTTTCATAAATAACTTTGTTAATTGATCAATTTTTTAATTTAGTCTACTCTTTGGATTATCAACAAAAATCAATAGCATTAGCAGTATCATTTAATATTTCTTTTCATATAATTGCATTAATTCATGTCAACATTTCCTATAAATCATATATTTTACCTTTGTTTATAAATTAAATGTTGATATATTAAATAATTCGAAATTATTCAAACCGTATTGATTAATCTACTTTAAAAATACTATTTAATTCAAATGTATAAGCTTATTGGCAATTAAAGTATTGGTTAATCAAATTATTAAATAATGATACTCCAACTTTTGGTTAAGAAGTCATTTTTAAATCTTTGATTGCATCTTAACATAGATAAACTTGCTTTTAATTATAATGTTTATTTTGCTCTCATTAAAATATTATTAATCCAACTTAAACTGGTGGTATAACAAAACATATATTTAATGAATTTTTGTTAGAAAAATTAAAATAATTTCTTACATAATACACTTTTTTTTCAAAGTCTTCTCACAATTAAGGACTCTTATCATATGCATTTGTTTTATATGATTTTGGAATGATTATGAAATCCATAAAAATACTTTGTTTTTTAAAAGAATATCATGAAAATTAAGACAACTCTAAACTTTAATCATTTTCCCAAACTCACGATGATAATTATTATTAAATAAGTCATCTTGAATTGATTACTTTAAAACCCAAACATTCTTAAGAAAATTAAGATTTGTTGTGTAATTTAACAAAAACTTTACAAGATTCCAAAATTATTTAAGTTTTTTAATAATAATAATCTAAAAAATATTCTATGATAGATAAATTAAAATTAAAATTTATATTTGATTGTGCCAAAGCTAATATTAATTCATTTTTAGGTACTTCAACTGAGGCTATATAATAAAATTACATTAATGATTATACAGAATAAGTTATTGAAAAAGATCTTTAAATAAATATTTAAGAATAAAGTGTATTTAATGTTATTGAAGCCAAAGTTGTTCTTTATTAATAATTAGTTTCAACATCACAAATTAAATAAAGCATTCATCATTTTCATAATCAAGTGCATAAATTATGTCATTATTTTTATGCTATAGATAAATAATTAAAAAAAGCCTATTAGTAAAATCCTTGTTTTCATTTGCACAGAATTATTTGTTTTTTCTTAGGAGAAGTTCTGGGTGAATATAGAAGATCAATAAACTTTTATAAAAATTCAGAATTCTTTGAAACTCAGATATTATAATTTAAATAAATTAAAAATTTTAATATCAATTCTAATCATGTTCATTATTTAATATTAGAAGCAAAAGATGATATGGAATCTTTTACAATATAATCATATTCTAATAAATTTTATCAAAATTTTGGAACCACTAAAAAAACTACATAAATTCATTAATTTAATGATTTATTGCCATAATATTTAATAAAACATCATGGTTCTTATGTTAGAAGATTTTTTGAGACAGGAATATCAAAATATTACTAATAATTTGATCTTAGTTTTATTAGAAACACAAATATGCTGTTAACACCTATAAATATGTGTCTATCAATTACAAATAAATTTAATAATTAAAATATTACTTTTGCTACTTTCTTATAAGATACATTATATGATTAAGCTTATATTCTAATAGATAGTACCAGTTAAAAATGTACATTTACATAAAATTTATTAATATTAATTGGATGGACAGAAAATGAAATATAATATTTAAGTAAATAAGACAACTCAAATGAATTTAATATTAATAAAATATTTCCAAACTTTGATAGAATTGTTAAATCAAATTAAGAGAAATTATTTAAAATAAATTAATGTAATTTAATTTTGCCAAAAATTTAAGAAAATCTTTAAACTTAGAAATCTTTATTTTCTGAAAACTCATTAATATTCTTAAATTATATCAAAACCTAATGTGATCTAATCATTGTCAAATAATCTATTGAAAACTATGATTATTATTTAATAAATGTTGTAAAAATAGTATAAGCTTAAACCATGTCAGTTATTAATCCAAAATCCTATGAATCATAATCTATAAGTGTACAAAATGGATAAAATAACTAAGACAATTTTCCTGATAACTAAACTAGTGAAGATAAATTAGGTGTCTAGCTTTAATCTATAAAAGGAGAAGATCATGAATTTCATAAGAAAAATAGAATTTAAAATATTCATACAGAATCAAATTTCGACAATATTTAAATAGATAAAATGTATTCTTTAATTTAATCTATTTTATCAGTGAAAACTCCTAAATATCTATAGAAATTTGTTATTTTAATGTTAACTTGGCATTCCATTTTTATCTTTTTTGTCATAATATTCTATGTCTCATTGTAATAAGATATTTATTAAGTGAAATCAAATCTAGAAATGGTAACTTTTTATGCAGCAATCATGGCACCTCATGATCTTTTCTTTTCAATGAGAGTTACTATAACTGCTTATTAATAAATGTAAAGAGAAGGATTCCTTACTTAAAATAAAGTGACAGAATTAACTAATCCTTATTATGATCATATTGAATTAGGATTTACTGAATTAAGAGATAGTTTTTATGTCTAACTTAATAATAAATATTTATAGGAATTTTTGAATGATATTAATTTGACAATGTATTTTATGAAGAATGATGAAAAATCAATATATCCAATAGATCTTACTTTCAGAGATGCTTTATTTGTCATATTATAATATCAATATTCTTAAATGATGACTTTTTATTATCGTCAAAGTACATCTGGTAAACCTTTTTAAATTTCATTGTTTGCCAATTATTTTATGCTTCATTCTAAATGTGAATAATTATCAAATGAAATAGCTATCTATTCTATTGAAAATAAAAATCAAATTAATAGAAAATGGTTGATTATTACTGTTATAGGATTTTGTTCTCTAATTCTATTTTATTTAATAATTTAATGTTATTAAATTTATTTTTTTGTTTAATTAGATTAAATGTATGAGTTAATTAATTCATTAACTTTTGATATTGTTTAAAAAGAGATTGATAAATTTTAAGATTACATTAATAATTACAAATTAGATAGATATATTTTACTTGATTATGATCCATTAGATAGATATTGTCATTAAATAGAAAATTATCAAAGAAAATTGGGATAGAAATATATTAAAATAAAAATTAAGACATAAAATAAAACCAAATTAATAAATTATTCTATGCTCATTTTATTATGTATATTACTATCTTTTTATTTTATTCTGGTTTTCAGTAATACACATACTTATTTATAAAAATATGAAGAAAATTTAAAATTCTATAAAAATTTGTAAGATTTAAAATTAAGACCTGGTAGTCTATTTTTGTATAGAGAAATCTTTTTTAGATGGTCAAATTTTACATTTTTAACAGAGGAAAATAAATTATAGTTGCATTCTCTAGTTAATAAAGCAGAATAATCAATAAATAGTTATTTAGAAAACACTAATTCCTTTTATGCAAATTCATTAATAATTGATGAAGAATTTGATTAGTTATATAGTTAAGTTAGTCAAGAAAATTTATGTTAATTCATTGATCAAGTAATTTAATAATTAAAAAGTAGAAATTTTTAAATCTAACTACAAAATATTGTAATTTATCCTTTGATGGATCCTTAAAGTCAGGAATGATTTCTACTTTAAATTACTTATAACATTCAATCTAAACTCAAAAGGCAGTCAATAATTTTACTAAAAGAGCCGAAGCCAGCTTATATGAATAGGAAGGATCACAAATAGTGACAAGAGTCTTTTTCTCTCTTTCCGATCAATTTAGTAAAAGTGCTGGTTAAAAAGCAGAATTTTGTATCTAGCTAATTAAAGTATTATTTTTTTATATATTAGATATTATCTATAAGTTTTATAGTTTATATAATATTAGTATTATTACTGATGCAACTAATTTATCGTCCTTATTTATAGAAACTTTTTAAAGTACTTAAAAGATCAGTCCATTTAATCCCATTTGATTCCTTATTATAAAGTGACAGTTTAGAATTACGATTAAAATCTATTAGTTATAAGCTTTAATTATTATGAAATCTATATGCTTAAAATGATACTAAAATTGATAATCTAATATATTGATTTTATTTTATATTGTTTTTAATTAACTTAAGTATTATATAAAAAAGAATAACTATATATCTATTTTATTATTAATCAATATATTGATATATAAAATTATTAATGTCAAACTTAAACATCTTCAAATGCTAAACCAATTATGAAACTTGCACTTGCTGCTGCACTTCCAATAATTAATGTTTCTAATCCAGCCCAATACCATTTTTGATAAGAAAACATTGATTTAGAAACACCAAGAATAAATAAGAAAAATCCTGTTAATGCAATTGAAGTTTCAAATAAATTTTCTGATAATCCAGCAATACTTCCAACAATAAATGGCAATACTATTATTTTATATATAAAAAATTAATTACATGGCATTAATCCGAATAATCCAAACGAAAAAAAAGTTACAATAGCATCTTTAATAGGATGCTCATCTACACTCATTAATCCAAGTTCTTCAACCATCATAACATCAACCCAAACCTTTTTATTTTTTGCTAAAGTATCTGCAATAATTACTGCTTCATCATGATCTATACCTTTGGACTTAAGAATATTTCTAAGAATTTACTTTATAAATGTCAATCATTTCTTTTTTCTCAGCCTCAGGATTAGTTTCAACTTCCCATTATTCTCTATTTCTTTCATTTATTGTGAATTCTGCTTCACTCCTTGTTGATATGTAATCTCCTAAGGCCATTGATATTCCGTCACCAATCAAATTAGCAATTCCCATTCCCAATATAACTCCTGTAGATAATCCAGCCTATATTTAATTAAAATATTTACTCCTGCCACTCCAGCCACAACTGAAAATGTAGTAACCATTCCATCTAAACCTCCATAAACTGCACTTTTAATATGTTCTCCACCACTCTAATGTTTTTCTTCATGACCTTCATTCAATTATTATTATTCTTCTATTGAATGTGCTTTCTTAGACAAATCAGCATCTTTTTTTTCAAAGGCTATTTATGCTTAATTCATTAAAGGATCTTAAAATTAATTATAATTATTTATATCTATGAATATCATAAATTCATTTCTAGCATTTCTCTCTTTAATTTTTCTATAACTTTCTCAACCAATTATACTAATGTTTCTTCTGTTTTTTCTCTTTCTCCTCTAGTTTTTCTTAATTATTCTTAAATTCTTCCTGAAATCTCCCTCAAACTTTCAACTATTTCTTCTTCTTTTGCTTCTCTTTCTTTCTTTTCTCTAAATTATTAAATCAATATAAAACCTTTCAAATAATTCTCTTAGATCATTTAATTATTCTACAAATTAATGATATATTTTCTCCTCAACATCTTTTCTTTCTGAAATTTCATTCTATAATTCATCAGCTATTTTTGGTAAATCTTCATTTAAATAAGAATCAATATATTCATGAGATGTAGATTGAGCCTACTTATAAATTAAATTCTTACAAGTCCTTCTTTTATAACTTCTTATTATAAACCTTCAATTTACTGTCCAATTGAATATACTATTTTTTTCTCTTATTCTACTCTATCCTTAGAATTTTGCTCTATCAATCTTCTTGCATGTCTTTCTAAATCAGTTATCAATTTAAAAGTCTCACTCTCTTATCTTTCACGACTATCAATTATCTATGAAACTTATACTCTTCTTATTCCTATTCTAAAAATTCTGTAACTTGTCTAACCTTTTATGCAATATAAGCAAATTTTTCTTCCTTTTAATCAGATTAATGTTATAATTAAGCTTCAAATGCCATAATCAATTAACTTATAGTATGAAAACGATTATTTTTCCTATTATTGTATTATTTGTAACTTACTCATCCTAAACACTAGTAGAGATGTTATTTAGCTTTTCAAAGATGGATGATACTCTATTTTAGATATTCTCTGACATTAAATTAATAATAAACTTTTATTTCTGTTTAATAAATTTTTTGTTTATTAAAATAAACAATTATAAATTATACATTAATTAATCACATTAAATGGTCATTAATGTCAAAAGTATCACAATTCTTATACTTTCTATGAATCTTTTAATAATTAATATGTTGTTGATGCAAAGGTTCTATTTAATTTAATTAAATGTTAATTTCTCTTTGACTATTATCATATTCCATAATACTAGAGTCTTATAAATTCATCTAATTTAATTCTTATCTTGTTTATTCAAGCAATTATCTCAATTAATCAATATTATCATCAAAAGATTATTCATTTTTTATAGTAAAGTGAACTTTATCGAAATTTAATCTTTGTTATACAGAATGAGTAGGTTATTATTCTTCTATTTTCATTATTTCTTTTTTAAATTATTCATATTTAGGTATATCATTTTTTGGTATTTCTGATTAATTTAAATTACTAAAATCATCTTTTGAAATCCTGTAATTCGTAATATCATTCTCTTTATTTTAATATTAAATATTTTATTGTTTTACATCTTAATTTAAAATATTTTATTAAGCAAAACAATTTTACTCTTTTTAATAAAATTTATTTTAAGTATTATTAGCAGAAAGATTAGGAATTTCTGAATAAATTGTCTTTGTATCAGTCAAAGCTGCATTACGAAAAGGGTTTTCTTCTTTCAATGATGAAATCTACACTTCCTATGAATTTAAAGTGTTTTCTAAGAATGAAATAACATTATCTAAATTTTTCATGCCATTAAACCCATAATTTTCTTAGGTTTAAGATTTTTCTTGATTAATCTAATTTTATTTAGTAGTTGACTTTTTAATTTCTTATTTGATTTTATCAACTGATTTTTCCTATTAGGCTTTTAAAATTTTTTCAGGTTTCTTCAATCTTTAAGCCTTTTAATAATAAATAGATATTATACTTTTGCAACGAATGATTTTGTTTCTTCCAAGTCTTATTTAATTTTATTTAGAAAGTTTGGATCTTAATTTTATTGTCCTCTTTCACTTTCCAATAGTAACATCTTAGCTTATTCAAGTATATCTGGTTTAAATTAACATTATGAATGAGCTCTTTCTGATTTTTCCCATTCAATCATTTATGTTAAATTTTTTCTTTTTGAAGTTGAATTATTTAAACCTTTAGAATGCAAAGCTGTAAGATAAATCTATTTTATTGATAAATCAAAACTTTTTAAGTGTCATCATCCATAACATTATTTTTCAACTTTTCCTATACTTATTACCATTAATCTTTGGCTTCCATACGATGTTTTGACATTAAACTAATTTTCTTTTACATCAATTCAGCCTAAGATAACTTGTAACGATCCTAATCCACAAATGATGAAACCCATTCAGGCTTTCCTGTTTGATTCTTTTATTTCGAATACATTGATTTCAAATTAATAACTGAAAAATATTTTACTTATATATTATAATGTATTTTGTCATCTCAATATTTTTTAGTTGTTTTTAATGGCATTCAAACCTTGATATATTTATAATTAATCCTTTATTCTTTTAAAAATAAATTCAATTTCAAATTTATATAGCCAATAATTGAGAATGAAAGATCAAACAAATCAAAACTAATTAAGAAAATACATCCTAACAAATTTGAGAATTCTTTTAGTAATTCATCAAAAACATGTAAAAATATACTCAATGCTGAAATATATTATCCTCTTTTTAGGATAATTGCAAAGTGCTTTTTTCTATCTGTTTCCATGCTACATCTCTTCTCTTAAAATGTATAATAAATTCATACTGATTTATCTTATTAGACCTGATTTACTTTTAATTGATAATGTTATGATTGATATTTAAAACATATACCTATTTCTAATTCCACTTATTAGCATAATCATTTTTGATTTAATGATTTTACAAGGGTAGGTCTTAATTGAATATCAATTTAAAAAGCATCCTATACATCAACATCAGCAAATAATTATTTAAAGCTCCTTTTAATAGTTGATATTAAATTTCAAGTCTTTATACTCTCAATTGTTTATTGTTTATTTATATATACCTGCTTAAGTATTATCTTTTACATCATTTGCCTCTTCAGATACCATTAATGATATTGAAATAGTTATATTAAGTATTATAACAGTAATAGCTAACATTTTTTTTTAGATATTGAAGTTAACAGTCAGTAATACAACAATGGATTTATGTATTACTGGTTACGAAAGATTATATTTTACTAAAATAGATTGTTTTAGAGAAATTATTATATTAATATAAGTCATTTTATATAGTATTATTGAAGATAATGAAAGGGCTTAAATAGCTTAAGGAATATTATCTATAATAGTTAGTCTATCATTACTAATAAATATATTTATGGATAAAACTATTGTTGTTGAAGGTTATATAACATTAACCTTAATTACACAAATTAGTTTGTTATCATTAATCTCAACATCCCTCTTAGAATTTTGGCAATTAGGCTTATTATTGATTCCCATTCTTATTTTTGTGGGATAAAGTTATAGAAATTAAGAGCTTTTTAAATTAAATACAAATATCTCTGAAATTAAATGTATTAAAAAAATTATTTAATACATTTCATATCAAATTAATAATCATTAAAATTAAAAATCAACTATTAATTAAATCTCATAATCCATTTTATTAAATTATCATAGAAGGAAATGTAGTGATATTAATTGCTATTGTAATACTATTGCTGAAAAAACAGATGAACCATATAAAGTTCTTTATGTATCAGATCTTATTTAAAAGAAATTTGTAATAAGTAAAATAAAATAATGGAATAAAGAGTTGAGCAAGAAAAGAATAGATCTATCTGATTAACATTGGATTTATTATATTAGTACTTTAAATCATTATGGTCTCACAACTACTGCATTTTAAGAATGTAATCGATTATTATCTTTATAAAATTCAATCAATCGTGGATTTCTAAGTCACAATGATCTAAATTCTTAATCTTAAAATCATCAGCCAAGTTTACCATCTTAATAAAGTGGATCATAATAACATAGAAAAGTATAAGCAAAATTATCAGTGAATTCAATTGAATTAAAGTCAAATCTAAAATTAAACATTAGAAATTAAATGCTTTCATTGTTATCATTGATGAAATTAGAAATTATAAGCAAAGATATAAGAATAGAATTATAAAACAATTTTTTAAAATTATAGACTAAATAATAAGAAGAGATTGCAGAAGCAATTTAATTATATTTATTAAGTGAATAATAAAATTAAGCTGTTAAACATTAAGTATTGAAATGTTTATAATAAAAATTATAGTTTTATAATTTCATAATAAACAAAAAAAGTTAAAACTCTTTAGAATTATTTAATAATGCAAAAATCTTATCTAACTCATTTTTTAAATTAGAAAAAAAATTATTATAATAATACTCATAATTTCCTAGTTAAAAAATATAATCAATAAATTGTTTCTTTCAATCAGAATTACTTAATAATTATTTAACAGCATTTAAATTAGCCAATTTTAGCACAATAGCTGATGAAAAATTATTAAATATGAGAAAAAACATAAAAATTAATTTATTTGGTAAAAATGTAGTACATATGTTGATGAATTTAAATGAAGGCTTATAAACAATGAATATTTATTCATTTAGTAATAATGCTTATGATTTTTTATAAATCAGTTATGAAGATTGCATGAGAGAGTATAAGACAATTGATAATTTATTACCTTAAGCAATATTAAATGAACATCATCTATTAGTATAAAGATTTATTGTAGAAGGAACTAGTAAATATTTTAGAAATATTGACTTAAGTTTTCTTTAATTATTAAATGGACTTGTTAAACCATTTAATTTAATTATAGACATAATTTTGAATTAGACTAACAATTTATCTTTTGTTGCATTTTTTGAAGAGGTTTCTATTACTAATTGTTATATATTAGTTGATGTAAATGAATAATGTGGAGGTATTAGTTTCAATTTATTTGAAAAAATAGGATGGAGACAAAATGAAATAAAATAATATTCTAAATAAATCAATCATGCTTATTAAGTTAACATTAATTAAATAATTCCTAATTTTAATGATTTAAAGGTTTCCTTAAAGGAATAAAAATTTTATAATACTCCAATTAATCTTTTAACAAAAAAATCAATTACAACTTTTCAATAAAAGTCATTCTTATCCATTCATGATAGTTGGAAAAATATTGGAAATGTAATCAATTTAATTGGAACGATTATAATACAATAGAGAGAATTATATGGATACTATTATTATATAATTGAAATAGAAGATATTAGATTATCTTAAACATTTTCTCATATGATGAACACTGAAGGGAAGGGTTTTACTATTTAATTAAATGAGATTGATAATACAGTTAATGAAATCGAAGTTAGTGATTTAGTTGTTTCTTGTACTGAGGCTGGAGTAAACAAACCATAATCATTAAACATTTTTGCATTATCATCATCAATATCAGAAAAAGATCAGGATAATTAATATTCTAATTAATAATTATAGGCAATTCTTCATGGATAATAAATCATATAAGATAGAGAAGTTGTTGTATCAAAGTTACTTTAATTAAATTAAAATTACTAATATTAGGCTTATGATATTTAGAATATCAATAAAAATGATGAAAAATAGAATATTGGTGATGTCAATCCAAATCAAAGCATTCGAAAACTAATTGATACTAGCAAATCCTTTACTTAATAAAGGTTTTTTAATTAAGAAATTTAAGATTTGGATTAATCAAATAGTAAAATAAGTGATGCTGTTTAAAATTAAATGAAAGATGTTAATTAAATGTATGATGTAGATCTTAATAAAATTGATAAAGAAATGAGAGAAAATATTAGACTATAATTATAACTTGAACTCGATCAAAAAAATTAAGCCAATTAATAAATAGATGATGCTGCTTCTTAAGTATCATCTCTAATAGGATTAAAAAAATCACTATTTTATAAAAAATATGAACTTATAAATAGATTAATGGAAAGTAATTTGAGACCCAGTTCTTATAGATATTGTAACTTAATGCTATTTCTATCTTAAATAATAGTTATTATATATTGTATAATCATATTAACAAATCTCAACAAAGATTTTAATAGATTTATCTAAGAAGTAGATATGCTCTTATTTAGTTATAGTTTTATGACTCCTTTTGATATATTCTTAGCTTTGAGATTTTCAACTGTTTATTATTCTATTTAGATGTTAACAGGCAGAATTTCAGCTAGTGAAAATACCTAATTAGGAGATTGGTTAGCAAATCATTTAGGAGAAGGTTATGATGTAATGAAAGAAAATTTCTTAGAATAATTCTCCAATCCATATATCTTAGAATTTTTTACAGATGAAAATTTTGATGTACTTTTTATGAAAACTAATTCTTCAAATATGGAAAAGAAAACAATTTCATTTAGAGAATCTTTAAATGTTTTATTATAATATTAATACTAATTTAAAATAGCATATCAACAGAAAACTCCTTTATTGTCTCAAGCTTTTACTGCTTATCCATATGCAAACTATTTAAATTTACATGATAAGTTTGATAATTTAACATCCAGTATTCTTGAATATACCAAATAAAGGAAATAAACAGTTTAAGAAAATTGGACTAGAATTTGGATACCATTTCTTATTGTTGATTTTTTATTAATTATAGGTTGCTATTATCTTTATAAAAGTTATCTATAAATATATGATAGCTTTTTAAATTTATTCAAATATGCTGAAACTATTTGGATCAATAGAGATATGGAGAGGTATAAAATATTGATCAACATTTTAAATAAGAATTCTGATGTTATGTTTAAATATTAATTTGATTTGGAATAAAAAGAAAAATTTATGATGGCTGAGAGATATAAATTAGAAAATTAAGGAGTTCATGAAAGCAAGAAAAAGAAATCATATAAAGAACAAAATTAAATGCCTACATTAATTGGATTAATTTCTCTATCAGCTTTATTTTCAGTATTCTTCATCTCATCATTATTGATTTAATTATCTACAAATGATTATCTCGATAAATATGGTCGTACAGCAGATATCTATAAATATATTGGAGATTTATGTTATAAAATACCAGGGTTATTTTCATAGAGGTAATTTCTATATTGGTGGGCAATTTATTATCTAGATGTTAATGACAAACCTAGAATGTAGAATAGACTTTTTGATGGAATTGAAAGTTGTAAGAAATTTGATATGATAATGTAATATTTTGATTAAGAAACTTATTTAACAACTCAAGCTTTTGTTGATTCCTTAACCAATTTAACAAAAAAGCCAGTTTGTGACTTTTTTAATCAAACAATATAAAAAGATTACTCTTTTTACTGCAATAGATCATTTGAAGGTGCTTTGACAATGGGAATCACATAGGCTCTAATATATGTAGGAAATGCCTTTACAGTTGCATATGAATTAAACAATTTCACATCAATTGTCTAATATTTTAAATATGAAGCAGAAGGAATGTATATAATGGTTAAGGGATTGATTGAATTAGTAAGCTCATTAAAAGATGCATTACTTCAAGCCACAAATTCACATATGAATTAAATTATAGGTTTAAGTGTATTCCTTTTAGTATTTTAAATTTTAATATTCCTGATATAATTTTTTATACTTCATAGATATTATTCACATGAATATTAATTAGTGAGAAGATATATGTTGTTATTACCCTCCTCGACAGTCTTATTAGATGACAATTTCGAAAGAAATATTAGAATATTTTATACACAATTCTAATTATGATTGAATGTATCTATATTAAATAGTTTTTAATTAATTTGATATTTTAATATATTATACTAAATTTACATAAAATAGATTAATTTTAAATAAAATTTGGAAGCATTTAATTAGTATTGGACAATTCTTGATTCTAGCAGTATTTTAAATTTAATACACTATTAATTATTATATACAAAAGATTGCATATTACTTTTGATTCAATATATAAATAAATTTCATAATAGTTCTACTTGAATAGGTTTTTCTGTTTTCTTTTTATTAGACTTTATACATACCAAAGGTTTAGATAAAAAATACTTTGTTATTAAAAATTTTGTTTATTGTTATTAAATAGGATTAGGAGTTTCTGATTTTTAATTTTTAATAGTTCTAAATTGGGAAAGTTATAAAGATTTATGGATTTATCCTTCCAAATTAGATTTAAGTTTTCTTGAAGTTAGACAAGCTGGTATTCTTTTTTTTTCTAACAAAAAATGTTAAGTTTTTTCTAATCTTAATGGTAATTAAAATCGAAATGGAGATATATGGATTTATTAATCCAAATAACTATCCATTTTAACTTAAGGGTTTTATATAGATTTTCTTATTGTCTCTATAGTATCATAATTCATTTCAGTTTTAAGTTATTTTGAGATACTAAGTGAACTCTCCTTATACTTAGAAACTGATTTTTATGAAGTTCGACAAATTTTTCTTGCTTTTTACACAAAATCATCAAATATGCTAAATTCATTTGGTTTTGGCTATAAGAATATTTTGCTTTAGTAATTGTTGTTAAACATTTTGATAAAAATAATATAAAATGATTTTAGCATAAATAATATTCACTTTTTAAAATAATAAAAGGTATCTGGAGAGACAATTCCTTCCAAAAATCTAGTAATATACTTTAAATGAGTTAATTTTGTAGATTCTGATCTCATCTATGAATGCATTACATAGGAATATGCATATTTAGAATAGAATTCAAATGATAATTCTGAAAATATTTTTTTGTAAACATCATCATCAACAGTCCATATACGTTTAAATTATTCAAAGTTTTCTAATTTTTATTTTGTAACCCACTTCTTGAAATGAGTCACATTATTTTCTGGAATGTATTGTTTTATTATTTTACATGCTTATTCATTATTTAATATAAATCTATTTAAAGCATTACCAAAGTTTCTCAAGAGATTCTTTGTATCTTCCTTTTTCTAATTTTCTTCTTTTGCCTTTTCTACTAATTATTAAAAAATATTCAAAGGTAATGTGATTGATTAGTCTTCAATCTTAATTTTCTTATTGATTGAAGGTTCCTCTTATATAAATTTATAAGGCTTAAAATTTGATATCTTATTAATCATCATAAAGTTTAATATCCTTTAACTTAGTTTTTAATTCGATTCTTAATAAATATAATTTATTTACGAATAATCATAACAACTTAGATGTAGCAGTAAACATAATCATAATTTACTTAAGTTAATTTGCATGTCCATGTACATACTGTAAGAATAAAAAAGATCAGCAATAACCATCTGCGCATGATTGTAATTAAGTTGAAAGAGAAAATGAAATTTTGAAAGCTGAAATTGCAAAGCTTTAATCTTTTGCTAATTCTAAAGGTAACATAAAAGTTCTTATAAAACTATAGTCCCTGAATTCCAGTAATTGCTTAGAGATAATTAATAAATGAAAAAGACTTTAGATCAAATGAATTAATAGATAAAAGAATATGAAGAAGAAATTTAGAGATAAAAATAAGTTATAGATAGATTAAATTTTGATTTAGATAAATAAAAGAGAGATAATGAATAGTTACTTTAAGCTTTGAATGAAATCAAATAAAGAGGTTTGTCATAAGAACAATCTCTCCTCTAAGATAATCAAAGGATGAAATCTACAATAGACTCTCTGAATAATGATTTAAGAAGTTTGTAATAAGAAATTTATAGATTAAAATCAATTAATGATAAATCTAGATATATATAAGATGAATCAAACCGTTATTTATAAGAAAATTAAGCAAATCAAGCTAGAATTCGATAATTGGAGATGTAGATCAGGGATTTAATGTCTAAAGAAGAAAATTATCAACTCCAAATAAATAGAGCAAATCAAGGAATAAATTCAGAAAATTAACAATTGAAAGATCAAATAAATTAATTGAATTAATAATTACTTATGATGCAAAAGTAATATTAAAAATAATTGGATGATGTAAGATTGGATCATGATAGAATGATAGCTGATTAAAAAAATACAATAAATATTTAAATAAAAGATTAATTAATAAGAGACTAATAAAAATGGATGGATGAAAGAGAGGCCTTACTTCATGAAATTTAGTTATTGAAATAACAATTGGCTTAGAATGAATTATAAGTTACAAGAAAAAGATAGTTATTGGAAGATGAATCAAATAAGAATTAGTAATTTATTGTAGAATTGGAATAAGCAAATAATTAACTTAATAATAAATTAAGAGATTTGTAAATGCAATTACAATAATCTGAGAAGGAAAAAATGAGAACTGATTAATATTTAAGAACAATTGATGAATTATAATTGTAAGTTGAATAATTATAAAGATAATTAAATGATTTGACAAATAAATATAATAATTTATTGAATCAATATGAATAGAAGAAGTATTAGATTGAATAATTGAATGGGTAATTAAATGCAAATTAAGATAATGAAAAGTAAAAGATTATGAATTTGGAAAGATAAGTTAGAGAATTATAAGATTAATTAGCTGATATGTAGAGATTAAGATAGTAATTACATTAAATGAATGAAAATTATACAGCTTTGTAAATTACATTCAAGAATTCATAAAAATAATTATCAGAAGCAGATGAATTAAGATAGGAATTGGATGCTTTATTATAAGAATTGGAATATTATAAATAATTAGATATGAAAAATAAGCAAGACTTAGATAAATATAAATAGTAATTGATAATAATTGAGAATAAACAAAGTTAATAAGTTAATTATGAAATTGAAAAATTAAGATAATAAAATCAATAATTAATTGATGAATTAAATGAATATAAAAATAGATATAAATAATTAGAAGGAAAATTATAATAATAAATTGTTATTTTAAATCAAGCTTAAAATGATTTATAAGCACATTAAGCATTAACAGAAAAATAATAATATTCTTTGAATGAAAGTAATTAATTAAGAATTAAGATAAAAGAACTTTTGGATTAAATTTAATATTTAGAAATGGAATTAAACAAAAAAGATAATATAATTTAGGATTTATAAATAAATTTGGATTAATTTAGTAAATAAAGAGATTCATTTATATTGATTGAAAAAGAGAAAAAAGATTTTGAATATCGTATAATATAATTAGAGAAATAATTAGCTGAATTAAATATATACAAAACATAATTTTTAGATTTATAAAGTAAATATAATAATTTGGGTTAAGAATATGAAAGTTTAAGAAAAGATTATGAAATATTAAGATATAAATATGATGAAATAAACACCTAATATATATAATCTAAAAAATAGATTAATATATAAATTAATAGTGAATTAGAAGTATTAAAATCAGAAATGTAAACTTGGGTAATCAAATGTAAAACTTATGAAAGTGAAATTACTTTTTTGAGATCTACTATTAATGATTATTAGGATATAGAGTAGCAATCAGATATGTTAAAATAAGATTTAGAAACATGGTAAATTAAATTTGCTGAAGCAGATAGAGAAAGGATTTAATTAAGATAAAATATTTAAGAGTATGAGAAATATAGATACAGAATTACAGAACTTGAAAGAGAAATATAAAATTCAAAATTCAAAATTGAAAATTCTGAAAAAGAAAGAGATAATTTAAGATAATAATTAATTGTTATATAATAATAAAGAGTTTAGAATGATTAAATTAAAAAGGATTATGATTCTATAGGGTTCAAATTATAAGAATCAGAAAAAGAAAATTTATTATTGCGTAATGAAATTGAAAATTTCAGATAATAATTGATTTCATTTTAATAAATGAAATAATAATTAATATTAATTGAATAGGAGAAATCATAATTGTTATATAAAATTGAAGAATTTGATAGGGAAAGACAATTATTAAAATAATAAATTTCAGGTACAAATAATATAAAAGTTGAATCTGAAAGTATAAAGAGAGAGTATGAAATGCTTAGAATGAAGATGGAATCAAGTGATAGAGAGATTTCTACTTTGAGACAGCAACTTACAATGGTAAGTAATCAAAAATTAGAATTAGAAAGATTGAAATCAGAATATTAGTAATTGAAAATGAGTTTTGAAGAATCAGAAAGAGAAAAATAAGGTTTAAAATAATAAGTATAAATGGGAAACAATTAAAAAAATGAATTAGATTAATTTAGAAAAGAATATGATTTCATTAGATTAAAATTTGAAGAAAGTGAAAAGGAGAAAAACTAATTAAAAATCCAATATTAAAGTAGTCAAAGTAATTTTAATGGCTATAAAATATAGATGGAATAAATGAGTTCATAAATTAATCAATATTAATCTTAAGAGTTAGTAATGAAGAGAGAAATAGAGATGCTTATTAAATAAATTGATGTTTTTAAGAAGGATCAATTAAATTAATAATAATAAATTTAAGAATATTAATTTAAATATTAGGAAATTATGAAAGAGTATGAAAACTTATAAAGTAAACAAAAAAGTATAGATGTAGATGCTTTAATGTATGAAATATATGAATTGAAGAAGTAATTAGCATAAAAAGATAAACAGTACGAATATGAGAGACAAGAAATTAATGAACAAAAGTTTTAATTTGAAAAGAATGTAAAAATTAGAGTAGAATAGGAAGTGAGAATTTTAAATGAGAAATTTAATATTGAATTGAATGAATTAAGAAGATAAATATAAATTGAAAAACAAGAGAAATTAAAGATAGAATCAGAAATGAGAATTAAATATGAATAGTAGATTATACAACTATAACAATAAATTAAACCATCTGTAGATGTAGATGCTTTGATGTATGAGATTTTTGAATTAAAAAAATAAGTTGTTACAAAAGATTAATAAATTGAATAGATGAAAAAAGAATAATATCATTTAAGAGTTTAATTGGAATAAAGATTTAATGAATAGAAATTATAATTTGAATAGGATATTAGAATGAGATTAGAAAAGGAATTGAGGATATCAATAGAATAAGATATTAGATATTAAATTGAAAATGAATACAACTTTGAATCAAATATATAAGACTATATTTTATAAATTGATAAGTGGAAATCTGTATGTTAGATGAGGGATGAAGAAATAATTCATTTAAAAGGATTGCAGTAAGCTTTTAAAGAGAAATTAAATTAATACACATCTGAAATTGAATCTTTGAAGACTTAATTAATGTTAGTATAGGGAGATAGAAGAACAGTATATTAAATAAAATGATATTATACAAATAATTTTATGAAGGAAATATTAGTAAAATATTTAATATCCAATTTTGTATATATATAAATATTTAAATATAATTAAAATGATTGAGATTAAAGAAAAGGGAGTAACAAGTTTAGAATTGAGCATGTATTTGATAAAGCGTTTAAATTTTCATGATTGGAAAACAATTAACAGGTTTGAATTATACGGATATATTGAAAAATATTGATTATATACTTTATACTATAACATGTCAGGCGATTGTTTATAATAGGTAAAAACTCTCAACTTACGATTGGAAACATCTGAATACTCATGAGAAAGAGTTGCGTGTAGTTTGGTCTCCTAGTCAACCACCATCACCATCGAAAGCGATGTGTGAATTTTCCTCTGGTGATTCTAGTCCTTGTGATGATGATCAATATTAAGCTAAAATAGAATTCATTGGTACTAAATTATCAATTCGTGAAATATGCAATTCTGTTCTTAATTCTAATTGCTATGAAATTCGGATTTTGGAACCAACAAAAACAGGAAAATATGAAAAGTTTATCATTTTAATATCTATTTAGAATCCCATAGGAATGGTAAAATCAAAGAGATATTATACTTTTTAATTATGATCCATCCCTTGAAATTTGCTAAGATAAACATTCCATTAAAAAGTATTTAAAAGAAAAGTAATTTTATATAATTAAATATTATTATTAAATAGATTCAAAGATTATCTATTTATCACTATCGAAGAAGTTCAAAAGATTTATTTGGCAGGAGAATAAGCATATATCATAAAAATAAATGAAGATAAATCTGCTCAATTTTTTTATTACAATATGAGTAAGAATCAACCTAAACATAAAAAATATATTGGGGAGAATTTCTAAGTAATTTTTAATTATTTATAATAAGGTTGGGATCTTGAGAAAGATCAGAGACATATAAGTTTAATATAGAGTGATAATGAGATTCTTACCAAATTATTTTGTCAGAGAAAAAGTAGAAAGCATTATTTACGAAAGAAGATATGATAAATAATAATAGATAGATTTTAGATAATTAAGAGTAGAAGAGTTATTTGAATGTAATATCATATTACTATATTTAGTTGAAGGATGCAAATATGGAATTATTTATTGTGATGATTTAAAATCTTCATAATAGATTGTTGATCTGCTTAATAAGTAATTTTTAAATACTATAAATAAAAAAGATATTTCTTTGAAAGAAAAATCTCTTAGCCAGAAATAATTGCAATAAATGAAGAGGGAAAAAGCATTTCTTCAGTATCTAATCGATAAGAATATTAAAATTTCTTTTAAATGAGTTATGATACATAAAAACTGATGAAATAAATATTGTAATAAGAAATTGATAAGGAGATCTAAGAAAAATAAGAGAGGATAGAAAAATAAGAGAGATAAGAAAGATTAGATAAATTGGAAAAATAAGAAAAATATGAAAAAGAGAAATATGAAAAGGAAAAGGAAAAGGAAAAGGAAAAATAACAAAGTGAAAAAAGTATCTTTAATAATAACGAAAGAAAAATACAATTAAGATATTATAATTAGCACTGTAGAACTTAATACCAGCAAATAATCAGAACGATAAGAAAAATAATATGAAAAAGCTAATCAAAGTCATCATTATTATAATAATAAATGTAATAAGTTTATTTATAATATTTTAGATGATAGCAGAAACAACATTAGAAGATCTAGATCATAATCAAGGAGAAGACGACACAGTTCTAGTGAAAGTTCTAAGTTAAAATATATAATTTATTATATAACAGAAAATATTATGAAAGAAAGCATAGGTCGAATCGATATGAGACAAAAAGAAGATCGGGATGGGAAAGCAAAACAAGAAAATGAATAAATTTTACTGTAATTTTAAAACAACAAAACAAAAACTCAAAAGGCATTTCAATAGACTATTATATTAAAAAACTAAAAAGCTAAAATTTGAATTAAAACTCAAACTCAAAAAGTTCCTCTAAATATCAAACTATATTAAATAAGCTAAGAAAAAAGCTTATGATGAATCAAAAGTAATAACAAATGGATATCAATTCCGATCATCATAGGAAATAATTCTACATTGAAAAGCTTATATTTATTGTTATCTAATATACTATTCAATATTATCTATATATTTTGAGTTGAATAAATTTAAACAATGAAAAACAAGTTATTTGAAGTATGATTCCTTTAATTTATCTTAATATATGATTATAGCTATTCTAATGAAATCTTTTGAGTTTAATTTTCTATTAAATTATTTCAATATTTGATTCATCATTGGTTTCATGATTATTTTATCTTATTATTAACTATTTCCATTAAATTAAGTTTCGAAATAAATTTTTATTTGTTTGAATATTTAAATTAATTATAGTTCACAAGATAAACCTATTTTTCATGCATTACTATCTGAATCCCATTTAATTCTTTTTCCTTAATACCATTCTCCAGCCTTTTCAATCTCTCCATTTATATATACTCCTTTACCATGTTATTTTCCATTTTCCCATTCTCCTTCATACTTTCTACCATCACTCCATTAATATATTCCATAACCATGTTTTTGATCGTTAAAATAATGACCCTCATATTTTCTTCCATCTGGCCACAAATAAATACCTCTTCCATGCATATTATTATTTTAAAATTCTCCTTCATATCTTCTACCATCAGGCCATTTAAGGATTCCTCTACCGTGTATTTTATTTTTATACCAATCTCCATCATAAACTTATCCATCTGCCCATTTATACTTTCCTTTTCCATGTTTTAATCCTTTTTAAAAAAACCCTTAATACTATGACCCATCTGACCAAGTTTCTACACCATAACCATGTTATTAATCACAAAACCATTATCCTTCATATTTTGGACCATTAAAATGTTAATAAATTCCAAAGCCATTAGCTGTATCATTTTCCCATTCTCCATCAAAAACATCTCCATTTGCATGCTGAAATTTTCCTTTTCCATGAGCCTTATTATATTTCCACATTCCTTCATATTTTGCTCCATCAGGCCAAATTTATATTCCATAACCATCTCTTGCCTTACCTTTCCATTGTCCCGTATATATAGCTCCTCCTTTAAATCTTATAAGACATCTTTATACTTATGAGGTCCTCTCTCTTCTTATGGAAATTCATCTTGATTCAAAGTAACACCAGACGAAAAGAAAAACTCGCTGGCATCCATTTTAGAATTATAACTATTTAAAGTTTCACGTTTCTTTAGTCTCATTAATTTCAACTTTTTACGAATTATGTATCCTCTCCAATACGATTAAATAACGATAGCTTTTTTTATTTTTTTTTAATGTACAGAAGAAGAATCAGAAGTTGCTAAAGTCACATTATCTTACTATCAAAATAATTTTATATAGCTTACAGTTTTAAGTATCTCATTTTTAGTATTGACGCATCTGCAATTAGTACATTGTGATCCCATCAAGATTAGAATATTCAAAAAAATATTATATAAATATGTGATAATAAATAATTTTTAATTCCAATTTTATTATATCCATCAAATCCATATAATGAAATCATAAAACTTCCACTTTCTAATCTCCCATATTAATTATTTAACCTCTTTTAACTTATTAATTATTATAATTTAATCTTCTTTTGCATAATTTCCAGTAATTATGTAAATTTTTAAGAAATCTTTAAATACTTCCAAAAACTATAAAAAAATCAAAATATCTCAAGTAATAAATCAAATAACTATATTAAGATTTCTTAATGATATTTTTTAATCTACATAATCACAACATCCTAAAAACTGTAAATCAAATTTAATATATACTAAATAAATTATAATCATACTCTTTTGATTTCTATCTAAAAATATCAAAATATCTAATTTATAATTATATACAATTGTAATTCCATAATTTGATTTTGAAATAGCTTCAATTTTATGGATAATAGAATTTCTTCTATTTTAAAAGTATATCCTTAAATTGTAAATATAGTATGTATTTAATTCATTTTATTATTAACTTAATATAATAAAAGTATGATGCAATTCTACTTAATCATATTTTTTCAACTTAGAAATTTATTAAATAATACATTTTCTCATTAATATAATCAAATTGACCAAATTTAATGTTTCTTTTTATAATTAATAGAATTATAACAACTTTATGGTAGTTTGTGATTAATTTTTGTTAATTTTTTCTAGATTTTAGGTTGAATTCTTTAAGAATGTTTAAAACTTAGAAAAATAGTTTATTATTTTTGTTATCATAAATTAAATATTATTATTATATTCAAATGAGATCTAATCATCTTCGATAAAAACCTAAATCAGAAGAAGAGCGTTTTGCATAAAGATTATAACAAGTGAAAAATACATATTTAATTGGAGCAGATGAAAAAAACTTGGCACCTAAAATAACAGCTAAATCATGGATTATTGTGGATTCATAATCTGGCGATGTTTTATATTCTTTTAATGAGAATCAAAGAAGGGAAATTGCATCTATTACTAAAATCATGACATTTTATGTTGTACTTAACATGTGTCGTTCAATGAATGTGCAAACTAATAATACATATGCTGAAGTGAGTTTTTAAGCTAGTTCAGTTGGTGGTACTACTGCAGACCTACTCAAAGGAGATGTTGTTTCTATTGAAGATTTATTTTATGGTTTGATGTTACCATCAGGAAATGATGCTGCTATGACATTAGCTGAAAATTTTGGCATTTATGCTATGTATTAAAATAAAATTAAAGGAAAGAATCCTTTGATTTATTTTATTCAAGAAATGAATAACAAAGCTAGAGAATTGCGAATGAGTCAAACTACTTATGCTAATCCTCATGGATTAAATAATAAAAATAATGTTTCATCAGCTTATGATGTATCAAAATTATGTAATCAATTATTGAAGGATGAATTCTTTCGTAAAGTTGTAAATACTAAAATCCATTTTTCTACTATTTAAGATGAAGAAGGTATTACACTAAATAGATTTATAATAAGGATTTACTAGAGATGTTATATGGGAAAATACAAATAAATTATTGTATTAAGGATTCAAAGGAATCAAAACTGGTAATACCTCTGTTGCTGGTCCTTGTTTAGCCAGTTACTATCAAACTGCTAGCAGGTCTTTTACAATTGTAATTTTGGGATGTAGAAATTAAGAAGATAGATGGTCAGAAACTATGTAATTATTGCAATGGTGTTTATCACAAATTTAATGATTTTTCTATATAACTTAATATAAATATAGAATGATATCAATTTTCATTTGAATCTTAAAATCTTTATTGCTTAGATCTAATATTAAGTATATCATTTTGCAAAACTTTACTTTCAAATTGTAGAATATCTATAAATTTTTCTACTTTTGATTTTTCATTAATTTTTTGAGATAAACTAATCAGATTGTCTATTTCTGTTAAATTTGACTATCTATCAATCTTAGTTCCAATTGCATCTGATAACTAGTCCAGTTTAGCTTATAATTAACTGTAGTAATGACCTTATTCATCATTCATTATTTTTGAATATTTGCAAGAATATTATCTAATTTCATTTTATTACTTTAAATAGTCCTGCTACCTATAAGTACTAGGTTATTATAATTAATAAAGATATGATTATTAACAATTTGAAGGACTATAATATAATGATGTTTTTGGACTTTTAAGAGTTTCACTTTATCTCTTATTATAAGAATTTTGTAGTTTCGATATATTAGAATTCCTTTTAGGTGTTAATCCTATATCTAGTGATTATTATATTTTTTACTGCATATTGTTGATTTAAGTTTTAAGCGTGTTAGATTATTAGTGATAGATTATTTGAGAAGACCAACTGGATTATCTGATTTTTATAAAGGTGTCATATATCTATCTTAGTTTTTAAGAGGAGAATTCTTAATTTTAGAAGAAATCTACCTTCTAAATTAGATAAATGATGAGGATATATCTTAACTCATAAAGGATAAGAGATAAAAATATTTATTAATTATTTTAGAAATAAGAATACAATATTTTAAGCTCATATGTTATATTAAAAGCAATCATTCATAAATTTTATTAAATATAATGAAGACATTGCTGTTCATTATTTGTGGTACTTTGATTTGTAATTAATTTTGTTTAGTTGTGTATACACTTGCATCTCATGCATATATATATCCATTCAATGAAAATAGCGTAAAGGATTTAGAAGGCCTTAATTAAAAGTAAATTGCACAATTGATCAAATACAATATTGGTCTTGTTGAACATGTCCAATAAGATTAGTAAAAAGCATTTGAGCAGTTGATTATGTAAACAATGAGAAATATATTATAGATCCTTTGGTAAGGGTAATGTTTTGACACCTACAGAAATGAATTATTTGATACTTATAGAGAGTGATAAATTGTACTAAGGATAAGATGTCAAGTAATAAAGAATAACTGAAGGATATGCTTAAAGTTTCAAGGTGTTGGAGAAAGAATAAAGATCATTGATGGAAACATTGTTTGGATAATAAGGTATTTTGTAATATATATAAATACAATAGCTGATTCATTAATATAAAAAGCTAATGTTGTATTTAATAACAACAATTTAGGTTTCAAAATATATTAAAATGAAGATGATTTGGATATCAATTATTTATAATGGACAATAACACTTTATCTAGGCAAAAATGTAAATGATAATAAAATTATAGAATGAAGTTTATTTTTATGAACCTAAAAAAGACAAATCTTATAAGATTGAATCCTCATTAGAAAAATGTGTTGATAATTTCTTTGGAACAACATTTGATTATGCTCCACAAGATAATAAAATATATAAATACAATACAAATGATATGTTAGAAATAAGAAAAGAAAATGAAGATTAAATTCTAGGATTTTTGAAAGATATTTGTGCCATGAACAAACTTTCAACTATATTTAAGAAAAGTATAAAACATTTAAATTTAAATCTTAGACAATACTCCAAATATGTTATCTATTATCAATAAATCTATTTCTAAATTAGAAAAGACTTTAAATGAATAAGAAATTGATTTAGTATATGATATGATGAGAATTGCTCATAAAAAAGTAATAAATAAGAATTATTATTATATAGCTATCTAAAAATTTCAGAAATACTTTTGAAAGTGAAGATTTATTTGGTTTAATATTAATTGAAGAAGAGAAAAATCCTTAATTAACTACAACTAAAGAATCTGCTAAAGTTTAGAGAATATTGATGGAAACTAGAACCAGAATGTTAAATTAAGTCACTGTAAATTCATATTTATTATTTTATATAGCAAACTAACTCTACAAGTTATGTAATGAATGCAACCACTTATTAAATTTATGTGTGGTTTGGAGTTTTCTTTGTTATTGTTTTGATTGGTATCATTTATGCTATGGTCACCATGGATATTTAAAAGGATACATTATTATATGCTAAGTTCTTAACAACAGATCAAAGAAATTGAGTAGTATATGTAAATATACACCACATATGTTTTATAAAAATTAAAGATCGTTCTCTTCATTACTAAACTCACACTGTTGGTTATTCCTAATCCCATTACCAAATCATTGCTTTTCCATCCCAACTTGCTGAACAAATCTACTTCTCTGTATGAATTGAAAAATCAAGGCCCACAACAAATTCTGTATGTTTTGGATGATTTTTACTATTATTATAAATATTATTATACATCAAAGGATTTGATGGTTCTTATATATTCCAAATCATTACACTCATATCATATGATGCAGAACCTAAAATAATTGCCTCATGTGGTGAAAATTTAACTTTTCTAACTGGATGTCTATGTCCTAATAAAGTTTAAATAGGAGCTCTATTTATTATTAATCAATAATATACTTTAAATTTCTAAGATCCCATAATTTTATTGTTTTATCTGCTGATGATGTTGCAATAAGTTCTTCATATTTATTAAAATCACAACTTAATGTATCTGACATATGAGCCTTTATTGAGGCAATATTCTTATTTGATGGACTATTCAAATCCCATAATCTCATTGCACCATCATTTCCAGTTGTAGCAAATATATTTTATTAAATTGGATGCCAAGTACATGTATAAGCACATCCTTTATGAGTTTAAAAATAGGCAACAGGTTTCTAAGCTGTAATATCAAATAATCTTGTTATTCCAATCAAATTTGATGCTAATAACCAATTAGGATTTTTATGTCCAAATTCTACACTTTAGATTTCTTCTTTAGATTCTAGATATTAAGTGAGAATTTATTATGTTCCTGCATTTAAAACTTTAACAATTCCATTTCCACATCCTATAGCTATCACATTAGGATCAGCTTCATTCCAACTACAATCAAAAACAGCATCACTTTCTTCACTTTAAAACAATATCTTAATTGGCTAATTTGGTTGGATTTATCCAATTATTAGACGTCCTTTACCTTAAATACCAAAATTATCAGCACAGGTAATTGCTATCTTATCAATATCAAATGGACTGAATTTAGCAGACATACAGCTTAAATTGCTAACAAAAAATGAAGGAGGTATTTGTTATTGCATCTATATTAATAAATATAATAAATTTTAATTATAGTCAAAATTTCGAAATAATTTATGATTTATAATCTATTGAAAGTACACATTTATTATAATATATTATTAATATTATTATTGAATATTTGATCTTAAGTAAATAATGATTATTATTATGATACAATTAAATTAACAAATTAAATAATTGAATAGATATTATGTTATAATTAAAAAATATAAGAGAGATTATATTATTATTCAGAATAATCTTATTTTAAAGACAACTCTACTTTATTTATAACTTTAACTTCCCTTTTTATTTTATTATTATAACTTTTTTTTAGAATTATATTAATCATATAATAATATAGACTCTAATAACACAAATATTATTATTAGATAAAAAGCATTTAAATCTAAGTATTTTTTATTTATATATGTTTTTAGAAAGGTTAAAATTGGAGATTAAGTTATTTTAGATAATTATAGTTATATCATAATAATTGGATAACAATATTTTTCTTATTATATATGTTCATTTGTATGAGTAATTCTTTTATAGAATATCTAGAAATAATTAGCTAAGAAAATATTTAATAAGCTAAATAGTATTTTGATTATATTATTAAATATGTATAAAAAATATATTATTAAATAGAATAGAGGAGGATTTTTAGAATATATGGAATATTTCAGGAAAATTTAGGTTGGTATAAAATTAAACGATAAAGAATTCACCTAAAAGCCATATCTCAAAATGCTATTTCAAATTTTTATTAATTGGATGGATTAAATTGTTCTATTTTTATCAAAATAATCCTAATTAAAAAGATAAGATTGTATTATGCATATTTTTGCTAATATTTAGCACTTTCTAATTTAATCTTTCAATTATTTTCAACTTTGAAATTATAAAGAGAAAAAATTAAATTGTTGCTTCTTATGATATAGCTTAAAAACATATTTAATTAAATTTTTAATTGAAAAAGAAAAGATAATAACTGAGATTTAGGTTAATTAACTTAAAATGATTCTATAATAAAAGATTGACTCTTATTTATTATATCATGAACAATTCATCATAATTTTATTAATAGTTAATCTTTGATATTTAAATCAAAAACTAAGTAATAATGAAAATAAATTCAATAATTTCATTTTAAACTAGTGCTTTTTTTTAATTTAGATTTTTAATTTAAATTCATTTTCTTCATGAATTAAATTAAACCTTATTAACCGATATTTTTATTTTAAATAATAAACTCATGTTTCATCAATTATCTTAATGAAGTTCTTTTTTCATAATTCTAAATTAATAAAAATTATTACTTTTATCAAACATAATTGAGTGAAATCTTAAAATATATTACTTCTTTATTTACTAATCTTTGGGGATGGTAAATTTATTATATTATACATGACTCTAATAGGATGTTAATCAAAATATGGTGGATCTCCTTCTGAGAGTTCATAAGCTATTATTCCCAAACACCAAATATCAGAAATCTCTTCTATTATTTATTATTCTAATGTTTCTGGAGCAATCCAAAATGGATCTTTATCTTTTTTATATTCAATTTTGTAATCCATAATTAATAATTTGATTTCTCCTATTTCATTAATTAAGACTTTCTTTGAATTTAAGTGTTTATGAATCTTGCCTATAGAATGCAAATACTTTAATCCTAACATTATTTAATAAAGTATATATCCAATTATTGACTCATCTATTTTCTTATTAAAAAGTCTAATTAATTTTCTGAGGTTACCAAAATTCATATATTCCTATATTATGAAGCTAAACATTATAATTATTTCTTACAAACATCCACTATAAAGATAAGTCTCATTATATTTCACAATACAAGGACAATCTATATTTTGAATTAAAGATATTTCTCTTTTCAATCTATAACAATTAAAATTTTCATGAAATTTAAATACTTTAGCAACAAAAACTTTATTTAATTGTCTATCAATAATTTTATATAGTTTACAATTTACCCCTTTTTCTATTTGTTCAATAAATATATATTTTTCAGCAGGATTTTAAATCAAAAATTCAATTTACGTCACCTCATTAAAATTTTATTTAAATGATAATTCTTTTCCATCATATATTTCAAGTATAGAAATAAAATTCATAGTGTCATTTTCAATTTCATTCCTGCTTACACCACTATTATAAATTTCTTTTTCTATTTCTACATTAAGACCTGTCAAACATAAATCTGCATTTGTGTCAATTTTTAACTCTTTTTACAAATTCTTTTAGTTTTAAATAGAATTCTGGATTTCTAATATACAGTCTGGTAATTCATGAGTTCTCACTTCTTCAGGTAGTTTATTTGTCTCTACTATATATTTTTGATCAGCATCAAGATGAGAGGCCCATTCTTTTGGAACCCCAATCAACTTCCTGGTAACAGGGTCTCTTTGTATACTAATACATTTCTTCACATCAAATAGTTTAATATCTGATTTAGAACTTGATAAAGATTCCTAAGATTATTTGTTTCCCATTTATTTTAATTAATTCGTATCATAATGAATTAATTCAAATTAGTTTATACTAATTTGCAACATATAAAAAATAAGTATCCTATCATAAACTATAATATTTATAATAGTTGGGATAGTTAAATTAAAATAATCTGTAAAATAGAATAGAGAAAAACCTAGTACTTCTTTTTTTATATTATAAATTTAGATACAATAATATTTAATAAAAATCTAGCCTTCATTTTTGAAAATAACTGAAAAAGTGATTATTTTTCTTGGAAAGAAATAAAATCAAAAGAGATCTATATTTATGAATCCAAATTTATTTAAATTAATTTCAAAATTAGTTCAATAGTTTTTTAATATAAAGTTGCGATAAGTTTGAATTACTATTAGTATATTTAAGGTCCAAATATATTTGTTTCATGCTTAAAATCATTTAAGTAATGTTTATCTTCATTTCTTAACTAAATCTTTAAAATTAATTATTCATTTATTATATTATCAATCATTTAAATAAATGAAAAACTGTAATTAAATTTCTTCTACTTATTCAATTTGATTATTTCCTTATGTAGATGGAAATTTAATTAAATCTTTTTAATACATAAAACCCATATCTAAATTAGATTAAGAACAATTTTTTTTATAATTTTTGATTTTACTGTTAGTAAATCCTTTTCTTATTTAATATAAAAATACATTTTTTTCCTTAATTATTCAATAAATTTTGAAGTTTTAGGATAAAAAATATCTTTTCTGTAATATAATAAAACTAAACAATTTATAAACTCCATATTTTGATAATTATTAATAGAACCATTAAAATTATATTAAAATCCAGTATAATTAACTCTTTATATACTTTAAGTTGAATATTATTAAATATACTATATAGATTTCAGAATTCTGAATAATAGTTCATCAAATGATTAAGAAGATTTTAAATATGGCTATTTGATGTTGAAACTGCATGAACAACTATAGATTTGGAATTTTTTAAACAATAATTCAAAATCTTTTGAAAAGTATTTTATTCTTCCAATAGAATCTTATAATAAAGGATTAGAAATGATGATAATGACAAGATTTATAAGATGAATAAACAAGATAAAATGATAAGAAGTTTCAATCCATATTATGATCCAATGCTCTCTTTTATAATGATCATCAAATTAATGAGATAAAAAGATGATATCTAAAATCTTAAAGAGGCAATCATTTTCACCTTTAATATTAATTTGATCTAAATACTTTTCTGCCTCATCTTATATTCTCTTTTAATTATAATTTTGGATTAGTATATTTGTTCTTCAAATAAATTTCTTTTATTTGCAGTAGTTCTAATAAGGTTGGAATATTAAATTTAAATATTGTGTTTTAAGAAAAGTAACAATGTCTTTTTCACTTTTTTGATAGAAATCTAGATTTCATAATGTAAATTAAAAATTTTATTTAGAAAGCTTGAGAGTTATAATAAAAATAGAGAAATTATAATATGAATTCAATAAAATTTCTAAAATAATGATTAGTAGTTAGTGATTATTAGGAGAAGTATAAATAATTAGAATTGCATTATTAATAAGGTGACACTTTGAATATAAAAATTTAACATAATTCTTCGTTAATTGAATATTATTTTTAATTTATCTGTTTGCAAATGTTCCACTCATATTTAATGCCACAATTAGGAGGTATTGTTTATTAAATAATATGATAGATCCCATGAATTGTATAATTTAGGGTCAAAATGGGATAGGAGGTTTATATTTAGGTAATATCGAGAGTGCTGGTAATGGGAAACTATTAGGCCATCATGATATTGGTGCAATATTAGCTGTAATGAGCACCAAAGATTACACGTATGATGCACATATTGCTCATAAGGTATAGAGTTTTGTTTATAGAGTAGTTTATTAGAGTAGATGATGCTGACTTTGTAAACTTAAGTAAGTATTTTGAAGAGACAATCGATTTTATAGATGTAAATCGATAGTAAACAAGTGTATTGGTACATTGTCATGCAGGAGTATCAAGATCTGCAACTATTGTGATTGCTTATTTAATGAAAACTTAAAATATGTCGTTGGAATAAGCATTTAAACATGTTTAGAATTAGAGACGCATTGTTAATCCAAATCCTGGTTTCATGAGATAACTTAAACAATATGAATAAAAATTGTAGGGTTCTAATTCTCTAAGAACATCATCAGTGAAGTAGAATGAGAGATAACACTCATAAAATACTCTTCGTCAAAGTTAATACATATAAAATTCTTCTGAGAGTTACAATTCTTTACATTAACCATATTAACCTCATCGACAATATCAGAGTACTTAAGATTTAATGAGACAATCTTAATACAATTATGAAAGACTTAACTCAAGGTAATCATTTATATATTAAATATTATTAGACAAATGCATTATCCCTATATGCCATAACATTATTCACCATATGTCAGAAATTACAGTGTACCATATGGATAGAATTCTTTAAACTTTTCTACTTACAGATAGGGATGTTATTGATTTTTATATAGTATAAAACTTAATAATATGTAAATCACAATATACTTTTGGAAAATACAAATTATTTTTCTTGACTTGTCTTTTCACATTCTATTTGAGTCTTGAATTACTCAAACATTCTCAATTTTTCATGATTTTCTTTTGAAGGTCTTTTGGATTATTAATTCTTTTCTAATTATTACATTAAATCCTAAATAAATATATTCTCTTCAAGTACTAATTATTACATAAATTATTAAATTACCAGAATCTTCATCTATTATTTTTTGTTATTTCTCAAATTTTTTTGAAAATTCATTATATTCACATAATTCAATTATTGTTTTTAAAGATGGTAAATGTTATTTTCTTCTTTCTACTTTTGGCTTTAATTTCTATTTTATATTTATAAACCAATGATGTTTAATTGCTTCCTCTAATTTTATTCTATTATCTTTTTTATCAAGTAATCTTCTCAATAAATCTAATTGAGAAGCACAATACACCATTTTATACTTATCTTAAATTAAAAAATTAATACATTAATTGTTTTTATCAAGTTATGACAAATGTTCTTCTGCTTTATCAATTAATTCAAATTAAATTCGATCAACTCTTTCATCTTTCTTTTTGTGATGAACAAAAAATGTCAAATAATACAATACAATACCTATTTAATATAAATCACTATCAATGGAAGGTTTGGCATTACTTTATTTTATTTCAGGTGCTATATAACTCTCATGCACATTTGAGAGATATTAATCAAGAGGTTCTTAGTCAATACTACTAATAAATGCCATATTGACTAAGAATAGTTAAAGAAATGAGGATTATGTATTGATTAGAATGTTACTTGGTGTTATGTTACCATGATAAATGTTATTCTTTCTTAAAAATTTGAGAGATTACAATAATTACAATATTATCTAAAATTAAGTAAAGGAGAATTACTGATGCTAATTATGTTTAATCCAAAATCAATCCTTAATTAAGGAGATCTAATAATTTCTCACATCTAAAATAATCAAATATTAAGTAGATATAATGATTATCTTCATAAACCCATTTCAAATCTAATAAAGATGGGTGTTTTATACTCCTCAAGGTTTAAATTTCACTATTCAAAATATCGATTTGTGATGTTGCTCTTATTGAATGGACATATGATGTATAAAATTTTTTAGTTTTTTTATGCTAAATTATATAATAATCTTTGATGATCTATTCTAATAAACAAAACTTATTTGTAAAATTGTTTAATTTACAAAAGGATTTCAATTTTGGTACCCATTCTAAATATTGTTATTTATGATTAAAGAATAATAAGAGATGTCCTGTTGAACTTGATAGTTATATTGCGTAGGCATCAAATTTAGAATATTATTTTAACTTTGTAATTTTACAATTAGAGAGTACTAAATATTGATCAGCAATCACAAGTAAATTAGGTATGAATAGAACAGAAATGTTAATAAAGCTTTCTTAAATGCTGGAATATATTATTAAATGGGATTTTAGTATAGGAATGGTTTTATTAATTTCATCTATCTATTTTTCAGGTAATTTAGTTAAGCAAGTCTATTTAAATACTTAAGTTGGTATTTCACTTATTAGATTGAAAATTCTTGAAAAATCAATATTCATTATTAAATATTATTTAATTTAAGAATTTAATTGAACTGAAACCTTTAATTGTTATTCATGTCTAGTTTAGAAAACTAAATGAATGGACAAAGCAAATATAATAATCTCTTATTATAAAATTATATATAATATATAGATAGGGGTGGAGTTACTTTTTATTTAAAATATTACCTACTTTTAGAGGTGGAAGTAAAACTCATAACATGATGTATTTAATATGAATAAATAAAAATGGTAGTATCCTATTGTGTTTTCATAAATATTAATTTAAATAAAAATATGGACGTGAAGAAGAGTAAAAAGAAACCAGAATTGAATGAACAGTTATTTGTTGGAAATTACATTGATGTTTTCCATCAAGGAAGCAAGTAACATAAGTTGGCATTCATTTTGTAAAAAAATGAAAAAGAAATTGAAATTACATATGATGGTATGTCTAAGAAGGAAAATGAGGTATGGTGTATGTCACTTAAGTATTCTAGATAATCAAATTATCACAAAATAAGATCAACTTTGCTCGTAGATTCACTTAAAGTATATAATTATTTACATAAAGACTACACTGGGGATGATTTCAGATAAAGCAAGACTTCACGAGATTACCTAAAATATTCAAGAGAGGAATGTGAGAAATATATCAAGGAACTAAATTCAATAATGTAAAATAATTTTCAAGGTCTTTCACCAATTGAAATATGTTTATCTGTGCGTGTGAGATAATTCATTTGGTTAGATATGGTGCTCTCTAGTGAATTTTCATCAAAAGAATTACCTATAGCATTGGAATACATTAAAACTTACTACAATTTCATTAAGTGGTATTTCGAACAATTTCCTAAGTACTTTGCAGATGTAAGCTAATATTCTCATTAACTCAGTATATGAGATTCCAAAACAATTAAGAATTGTACATCCTAGATGAAAGAGTTTCAATAGCAGCTTGTCTTTAGGAAGTATGTGAAGCCTTCTGCATGCTATTTGGTTCCATTTGGCGAGTGTTAAAGTAAGAAAACTCTTTTTTCTATGTATTCCTATATAATTTAAATTTAAGCTAAACTATGAGAATTTGTAATAGTAATTGGATAAATTCTTTCCTTCTTAAAATTAATAAGGTTTTGCTTAAAATTTGAATATTGATGACTGGAAACTTTATTAAGGTGCATCAGATATTGTAAAATGTATTAAAAAGACATGGCCATTTTATTTAAAAACTATGTCATATTTCAAATAAATAGGTGGACTTCAAGCATGGGAAGGATTATTGAAACCTTAAGAAAATGGTGAATATAATTATATTCCTCTTAAAGCTATGAATAGAATAGTAATAACATAATAATACTTATCCTCATATTTTTAATTACCTGATTAAGCTTAAATGGCCAAAAAGACATTTGAATGGTTATAAAATAGAGTTAATAATATGACTGTATAAGATATAAAAGATACAGATATAGATTAAATCAAAGAGCTCACATCAGAATATTAATATTACTTTTTAAAGGGATTTACAGAAGAATAATTAAATAAATTGACTGATGAAATTTAATTATAATTGGCTTTAAAATTTTTAAAGTCTTCATTTTTAGAAAAGAGAGTGAAAGGTATAAGTGAAATAAAGGATTTTACTGAGAGATCTAAATATGATGAATAAACAAATCTGAAATTTAGGTGTTAAATTAGTAAAGATGATTTGATAAGATGGATAACATAAAATAAAATTTTAGATTATACTTTATTAGGAGATTCTGTTCATCCAGAATTAATTAAAAGATCAAGTGATATTGCAGTATTTTTATGTAGGAATTAAGCATTCCAAATTGATTATATTGATAAAATATGGATTAATAATCATGATAAACATGAAACTACATAATTAGCTTTATATGAATTCTTTAAGATTGTATCACCTTATTTGAATTTTCAAGGAATTGAAAAATTATATAATCATATCTCTGCTATTCCATATTCTAAATATAATGAAAATATTGTTAGCATGATTAAAACATTTACTGAATCAGCATTATCTTAGAAATTTCATGAACAATAATTATAATTGATACCAGA